ACTGCTTTTTGTCTTCGTCAAGACTTGAGCAAAGTCATGAGGGCCAGGCCTCGCTGGATCGAGAGGTGGAAGGCGAGGGGTGGAAAAAGAGTTCAAGGCGTAATCGCCAACTTATTGTTGAATGCACGATTTGGAAGATCCGCCTTTCTACCCGGTCCCGGGCGCAGCTTGAACTCGACAGGCCGTTCGGGAATGCTGCTGGGAAAATGTGAACCTCAATTAAGATGAAAAATAAACAAGGGTGCATAAGGTTTTTCGACGAACCGTTGTGCGTAATGAGGAAGACAGAGCTCGGAATGAACGAAGGCGCAAAAGCAACGAAAACGATCTGCTCACTGCAGTGCTGAGTGCTGTGACACGAACGTGAACGCACGTGATTGGGACTAAGCCCTTGCCAGACACGACCAAACAGTCCTCCTCAATAGGCGACAGTCTTTCGGAACAGTTCAGTTGCGAAGCTCCCCAAACAGATTCTCACATAAATTCGATGACCGAGGGCCATAAAATTAGTAGATAGCGTCCAAACCGCCGGAAGAGGGGGAGAAACTGCCACGAAACATATCTGAGGAAGACGAAGTTGGGAATTGAAGACGATAGTATTTTATGGCAGAGGTTTTTCAATACTGACACAGGACATAATGAAGAGTGAGTGTGTCGTCGAAGAACAGCAGCGCCTCGTGTGCACGGAAATAACAGACATTCGTTTTATTCTTCAAATCCTACAAGTGCCATAAAAAATGAAACAACAGTACAGCGCCAACGAAACCCAAATCATTAGTAATAATATAATGTAGCATGCGCGATGTGCGGCCAAAAAATCTTTCCAACGCCGAGTAAGAAAATAAAAGTTCAATCCCAAATGTTTGTTGAGTGAATTATGGATGAGTTGAATGAGGTGTGCGTGTGACGATTGAATGAGTTATTGATTGTCGTCGAACTCTAGAGTGGAGAGAGTATTGAATTAGGTGAGGAGAAAAAAATAGCGATAGACATACATGAGTCGTAAATTCGCAGTATGGATGGAGGGAAACCCTCAAGCAACGACACAGTACGCGTTGTTCCCGCTGCCACCGTCGTCGGCGTTGGTTGGGATATCACTGGAGCCAGAGACGGAGGCGAAGAAGATGGTGAGGGTGGCGAAGGAATCCATGAGAGAAATTTTGGGAGAATGTAAGAACAGTGAGTTCAAAAGATGTTTAGGACGCGAAGCAGCCTGAGTATTTCAATGTCGTTGAACGCGCTCCCTTTTAAACTCACGGTAGCCTTACATCTAACACTCTGGGAGACTCGGAATAGATATTTCAATACGTACTGTCTGAGTCTTATTGTCAAAGAGTTCCTGAACCAGAATCAGCTCGACAATGGACATAAAAAGATGAAAGCTAACGTTCGGGGACTACTCATTCCATATGCCATGGTTGCCGATGGAAAACAATAGAAACCCTAATGACGTGACCTTTAATTTCGTTCAGACGCCCGTGCTCTGCAGTTCTATAAATTAGTCAATCCAATGCATAGCGGCGTTCGACGACATAATAATCGTGTAATCGATTCACTGCTTTTTGTCTTCGTCAAGACTTGTGCAATAGAGTTCGAAGTAATGGGGGCCAGGCCTCGGTGGATCGAGAGGTGGAAGGCGAGGGGTGGAAAAAGAGTACACGGCGTAATCGTCAGCTTATTGTTGAATGCATGATCCGCCTTTCTACTCGACACCGGGCGCACCTTCAACTCGATAGGCCGTTCGGGAATGCTGCTGGGAAAATGTGATCCTAGATTAAGGTGAAAAATGAATAAGCGAGCCTAAGCTTTTTCGACGAACCGTTGTGTATAATCAGGAAGACAGAGCTCGGAATGAACGAAGGCGCAAAGAGCAACGAAAACGATCTGCTCTGCTGCAGCGCTGCTCAGTGCTGAGTGACACGAATGCGAACGCACGTGGTCGGGAGTACTTCAGCCTTACTAATACCAGACACGACCAAACAGTCCTCGTCCGAGTCTTTCGGAATAGTTCAGTTGCGAAGCTCCTGATACATCTCAAATAATTTTGATAATCGAGGGCCATACACTTAGTAGATAGCGTCCAAACCGCCGAGCCAGGGGGAGAAACCACCGCAAAATATATCTGAGGAAGACGATAGTAATTTCTGGCGAAGGTTTTTCCAAGGTTTTTCACTACTGACACAGGACAAACGACCCCGACGTGATCCACCCGCTTGGTTTTAAGTTGGTTTATTTCTTTAATAAGGTCTCATGATACCCTCTCTTCACCAATTAGGTAGACATGAGCAAGAGTGTAGGCCGTTGGAGAGCAGCGGCGCCTCTTTTGTGCACGAAACCCGTATCATTATTGTTCAAATCCCATGATTGCCGTAAAAATGAAACAACAGTACAGCGCTAACGAAATCCAGATCATGAATGAGTAATAATATAATGTAGCATGCGCGATGTGCGGCTAAAACAATCTTTCCAACGTCGAATAAGAAAATAAAAGTTGAATCCCAAATGAATCGATGTGTTTGTTGAGTGAATTATGGATGAGTTGAATGAGGTGTGATGTGATGATTGAATGAGTTATTGACTGTCGTTGAATTCTAGAGTGGAGAGAGTATTGAATTAGACGAGGAGGAGAAAGAAACAGCGATGAACATACATGAGTCGTTATTAGCATTGTGAATAGAGACAAACTCTCAAGCAACGACGCAGTATGCGTTGTTCCCGCTGCCACCGTCGTCGGCGTTGGTTGGGATGTCACTGGAGCCAGAGACGGAGGCGAAGAAGATGGCGAGGGTGGCGAAGGAATCCATGAGAGTGATTTCGGGAGGATGTAGAGAACAGTGAGTTCAAAAGATGTTTAGGACGCGGAGCAACCTGAGTGTTTGTCGTTGAGCGTGCTCCCTTTTAAACTCACTGTCACCTTGCTCCGGGAGACTCGGATAGATATTTCAACACGTCCTGCCCGAGTCTTATTGTCAAAGCGTTCCTGCACCGGAATCAGCTAGACCGTGAACATAGAACAATGAAAGCTAACGTTCGGGAACTACTCACTTTTCTTATGGTTGCCGAGAAAACATGGAAAACAATAAAAACCCTGATGACGTCAGGCGACCTTTAATTTCTTTCAGCGCCCGTGGTACTCCCGTGGTCTGCGTTCAAAAGTTGTTCTATAAATCAATCATAGGGGCGTTCAACGATACAATAATTGTTATTAATTCATTGCTTTTTGTCTTCATCAAGGCTTAAGCAATGCAGTTCGAAGTCATGAGGGCCAGGATCAGAGGCCTCGGTGGATTAAGAGGTGGAAGGCAAGGGGTGGAAAAAGAGTAGAGAGAAAGGTGGAATCGCCAGCTTATTGTGAATGCACGATTTAGAAGATCCTTCAGACATGGTTTGAGCTCGGCAGATCGTTCGGGGATGCTGCTGGGAAAATGTGAACCTCGATTAAGATGAGAAAAGTATAGGCGTGCATAAGTGTTTTTCGATGAATAGCGGTGTATAATGAGGTGGGCAGAATTCGAGCTAAACACAGGGGCAAAAGCAATGCAAACAATTTCGGAGCAATTCAGTTGCGAAGCTGCTACTACAGCTTCTCAAATGATTTCGATGATCGAGGGCCATACACTTCGTAGATAGCGTCTATTAACCGCCGGGAGAGGGGGAGAAGCCACCGTACAACATACCTGAGAAGTCCGACGAAGACTTGTATAACGGCGAGCAAAAAAGGTATCCACCTAAATGCAAACTATGAAATTTCCGACGAGCATGCATGCTGAGGACCTACGTTGACATATTAAAATTCCCAGCCCTATAAAGTCCCATTGCCACAAATCCAAGCACCGCCGCGCCAATGACGGCACCAGCGACACTCAGCGTCATGAAGGTCAGGAGGACCAGCAGGGCAAACGCAAGCCTTGACCGCCTTTCATTCTTCTTGTATGTCGTCAGCGGTGTGTTCCCCAGTGTCCTTGCAGTAAACGGAAGTGGTGTCAATGGATAGAGGGTATCTTGAGAAGGTGGGTGTGGCGATGGCCGGGGCGATGGGGGGAAGGAGTAATTCCAAAACGCGTAGACTCCGCAGACCAGAAAAAGTGGCGTGTAAAAGATCAAATTCCAATAAAGCGTGAAACGAAAGATGTCTGGTTAAACGAATCAGTAAAATTCAAGAGGTGATGGAACTGTCACTGCACCACTTGCGCTGTACAAATACTCGGCACCTTTTTGCGTTGGTGGCCTGTGCTCAATGTGCAAAATCTCGAGGCCCGGATTATACAAAGATGGCCAAGGCGGAGTTGTGTTGCCCGGTGACATCCCAGAGTCGCTACACAATCATGGCGTGGAAGGAGGACAACACCGTCACAGCTGCGGAATGGGCTGACAGTCATGTCATGTGACCTACTCACACAAGGACGTTCATTGTCAAGCCAGATTCAAGCCGAGAACTGCTGGTTGGAACCTGAGTACTGAGGCCTGAGTGTCAATACTACTCGAAACTAAATTGGAGTTTTGAGAGCAATATTCGATTGCCCTTAAATATTTATTTCAATTGACAATGAGCCATGACGCTATAAACCATGATTTATGCAGACCTTGATGCAGACATTGAAGTTTAGTGGATCCATTCAAGGTCGATCAACCATTTCGATGCTAAGAAATTCGTTGAAGGGTCCGCTGAGAACGCAGATCCATTTGGGGAGGTATTGCTGGGGAATCACGGCTGTGGTTGTGGGGAAACCGTTGGGGGTGCTTCGGGATAGAGACGAACGAAGGTGGGGTTAATGAAGAGGTTAAGTGTTCTTGTGAGATCCAAGAGAGCGGCGTCGGCAGGTACGTCATGCTTGGACGATTTAGATAGATGGTGGATGAGAGGATCATATGGCAATGACATGGTGTACTTCAAGTTTGACTCTTTGATTAAACATTTCACCAACCGGGACCGTGACCCCAACCCATACCTTTGTCCTTCGAGTTCATAATATATGACGCATCAATTTATGGATACTAACCAGCGAGTGGTGCAATTTTAGGGGCCATGATAGATGGAAATCGACGCCCTCCGATTTGTAGGTTGGTCGTGTGCTGAATGGTGAAGGAGCCCATGATCATTAAAATGCAGCCCAACGAGGACAACACTACCAATTCAAAATTGGGGTACTAGATGGTCCAAGGATCAATTTTAAATTCGGTGAAGTCTTGCAAAACGGATGCGTGACGAGAAAACTCCGGGGAGGGGTATATTCAGGAGGTTGAGGAACGCATAAAGTTGACATACATGTCTTTGACCGCCTCAACGATTTTCTCGGACGTGTCGGAAATGGGCCGGAAACGACCATCATCTCCCACGGAATGCCAGCAAGGTGACCCAAGTTCCTGGAGCAAGAGCCGCTTCAAAGACTTGTCTCTGAGCGATTTCAGATAGCATCGTTTCAGGCCAGAGTAAACGAAACGGTTTTTGTACGCGTTCAGCAGGTAAATACACTCCATGATTAGGGAGTGGTGATTTACACAAGACCTGAATTAAGATTATTCTCTATAACAAAAATCGGTCTTCATCAGCGAGCAGAAAAGATCCACGTACGATTTATTCCTATTTTATCGAAAACCCTAGCTAGCCGTACCCTGCACAAAGAATGTAGAATTTTGTGCGCATGACCCACCTCAGTTAGTTACGTAAGGTCAGAGAAGCCCACAGGCTTCAGCAATATTCCTTCTTACCAGATCAATCCCAAAAGGAGGGGACATAAGCGAACTTGTTACGATTGGAGGAAGACAAAGGGGTGCAAATGCGAAGATGTCTTTGCGCATCTTTTCTAACGACCCCTGGACCTTGCCCACCGGCACAGTGTCGATCTTGGTTATCACGGCTTGGAGAGTAAAGGGCTGCGTTCCAGAGGGCGAGACAAGAAACGTAGAGAGATGAGAGAGCATCTGGGTGTCGTATCCATTTAGACCGTGTTTAGCGTTGAAGAGGATGTAAACACGGCGTAGTCTGTACATCATGAATTAATCGTCAAGAGAAAGAACACGAGGGCGTACTCCTTTCGGCTCCGGAGATACCCATCAAACATTTCGCCCCATTGTGGTCTTCCTCGGGCACCGTACCCTGGCGCATCCACGAGGACGAGCTTTCCTGGTTCCGCGCCGACGCGATAGAAGTTCAATTGCTGCGTGTGCCCCTGGACAGCTGGTTATTGAAAGGGCCTTCCATAGGCGGTATTTCAAACTCACCGGTTTCTTACTCGTATGGAGTAGAGACGTCCTTCCCAGAACGGAATTGAATAAGGAGGATTTACCGGCGTTTGCACGACCTGGTATGATCTCCTGTTAGTCTTTTTTGTTTTTGTTCAACTCCGATTGTGAATTTCTAACCCGCGACGATGACCTTCACGCCCAGTGTCAACACCAAAAGATTTTCAGAGCCGATAGCTAGCGCACCTCAGGTAAACCATGTAAGTCGGGTATCGACGTGGCGGAGCCTGCACCCGCCACAAATTCAGCTGACTTTGAATCAGCGAAAATCTTCTCCACCGCTGCTTTTGCTGACGTCGAGTACCCTGCTAAAGATGCAGCTGTCTTTGGCCTCAAAAGGCAATTACCAAGTCTTTCTTTTCCATGGTTGATGACGCGGGAAAGAGACATGGGAGCATGGGAATTTGCGGTCAAGACTGGTTTGTCACCGTCCACTGGCTTCCAAGAACCATCAACGAGAAAAATCTTCCCAAGCTCTCCGAGATTCACAACGAAGGTCCTCAATCTCAGTTGTAATGGTCGTCGCCAAAACTTGAACAAAAAGCTCTCAACTTAGGGGCATCCAGGGCATCCTCACTCATCGGTACCGGTACTCATGCGGTGATCAAGGCGCCTCAGAGGACACTTCAAGTTGTGGACTCAAGTCCTAGATCTGTAGGTTCGAATAACCTCAGGAACTGAAAGGCTAATCCTCCGTGCCTCCACCGGGATCGATCGTAATCAGGAACCTGCCCCGAGTTCTTACTATGAACTGTCTCTTCCTGGGTACCTTCTGCCAAAACGACCAAACTGATAAAGGATTTGGGCTAGTGCCAAATTTGACGCTTCTACCTCTACCTTCTTCAAGGACTGTGGACGTCGTTTTGAAAAATGACGACTTGTGATCCTCACCCAGCATCGTGATCAATATTGTCAGGAACCGGCTGACCCCAAGACTCAGGATCCATCATACGTACGTTAACGTTCTTCGAGGGAAACCTTGCCTCCAAGTCACCGGAACTTTAACTTTCTAACGGATTTCAGAACGGGCTAAGAAATGGCTTCGTACCTTATTATTTCCTCTTCTTAATTGCAAACCCTCATTATAATTGCACGGGACGAGTCTGACTGATTCTGGCAGCTAGGGGCAGGTCGCTGATGATCGAATTTCACAATAAGTTGTGAACTATCGTATGGATGTCTTGTTGTCCTGTGAGGGACTAGACTGGTGGCTGAAGGTTCAAACATCCAAATTGGTCTGATATCGTGTGAGCAACAAGAATGAAGCATCCAAAGAAATTTCAAAGACGTTATCCGTGCAGCCGAAACATCAATATTTTGTCATTCCTCGTCATTCCTCGTTAATTAGTCACGGGATTGGCGATATCCTACCCTACTTGGTGCCGATTTCGACTATCATTTCGCCTCCCCTCCCAAGGCGCGACTGGTATCCGAAGGACCTGAAAAACTAGCGCGTATACATGCCTTCGCCGCCGGCTGGCTTCGAGACTACTAGGATCCAATCTCGTCCTCGGGCGCCTCGTAAAACTAGCTCTAGAAATGCAATTGCAAAAAGTACTGTTGAAGACGACCACTCAGTAAAGATTGTTATCCAACAAACGCCAATCAACCAGCTCTTCCCAAACACCCCCAAACCCCCAAAACGATCCTACTGACTGCAGCATAAGTAACCCCTTTCCGCCCTAGTTGCACCTGTACAATCCCGCAATCGATCAACCACCGAAATGCCCAAACGTCCACACCTTCAGCCTTCGTCGAGGCATCCATCATCCCTCCCTGTAAAAACAGGTACTAAGGTGGGTATGTTGAAGACGACCACTAAGTAAAGGTTGTTATCCAACAGATCAGCAGCCGGAGTACGACTATATCAAGTGAGCATGCTACTCTCAAACATGCTACTCATCGTATATATGTCTTCCCAAATACCCCAAAACGATCCAAGTGAACATATCGCATACATCGACTGCGAGCCATTAAACAATAAATAACTCCCTTCCGCCCCAGTCCCCCAATCCCATAATCGTTCAACATCCAGTACTTAAACGTCCACACCCGCACCTTCAGCGCCAGCCTTCATCCACATCCCTCCCTATAAGGCATACCCAGCCAAATCAATCATCAGCCCACTGCTCTCAAAAAAAAAAAGACAAAAGGAAGAAAACGCACCGTACTAGACATAGTCAACACAATCTGCGGCCTAAACCTCTCCACCCTTTTCCTCCCCCTTCCTTGCTCAGCCCACTCCACAGGCGGGCGCGCAGAAGGCGGGAAGGCCTCCGTGTCGAGTGTGAATGAGGAGAAGGATTGCAGGAGGCGGATGGCCATGAATGACATTTGGTTGTATGCGAACTGTCCGTGGGTGGTTAGTTTAGTCTGTATGTATTGGGTGAAGAGGAATGGGAAAACGAAGAGGGATAAAGTGCTAGGTAAGGTGTGCGAACAAGAGTACTCCTTGTCCATCGCGTCGAGAAAAAAACAGACGAGGAGGAGAGAGAGAAGAAGAAGAAGAAAAGGCAAACATCAAATAAAACCCAGGAAGGCGGAACTTTAGTATCTATCGGGTGAAGGTGAAGAGGAACTGGAAACGAAGAGGAATAATTCCGGTCTGCTACAAAGGTGGGTAGCGACTCCTTGCCCTTCGCATCGGAAAACAAAATAGACCAGGAGAAAAAAAGGGAACATCAAATAATCAAAAAACCCACCTGCTGCCCCAAACAAATCCTCGGCCCAGCATTGAAAGGTAAGAAAATGAACGGGTTGGGTAAGAGGTACTCCTTCAACCTCTCATCCAAGAACCGGTCCGGGTCAAATTCGTGTGCTGTCATTCCATATTATCCTCTGTTCTATCTACCCAAAAGGAAGGCAAGAAGGGAAGAGGGGGATAACGCACCAGTAGGACCCCACAAATCCGTGCGCGTGTGCATCATTATGACTGAATACGCGGTCCTGTCGTAATTTTTCCGTTTAGTCGACCTTTGAAAGAAAGGGAAGAAGTAGACGCACGCTGATCCAGGAGGAATGTACAGTGGTTTTTGGGAAGGGTCCGGGGAAGGCCATATAGCTCCTTTTTGGCATTCTCTGTTCGTTCGTTTTTCTCGTCAGTGCCAAAAAAAAAAAAAAAAAAGAGGGGAGGAGGGAAGGGGGGTACCTGACGTTGAAAGGGCTGTATGCGGAACATATTAAATCATTAGGAGAGCACAAGAAGGAGCTAATGGGGACGTACACGGGAGGTAACAACCTCAACGTCTCTACAACCACCGGTCAGCGTATACTTACTTGAAAAGAAAAAGAAAGCGAACCGTTCAGAGTAGCCTTCAAGTACTTCATCTCCTTAACATCCTCATACGTCGGCCTCCTCGTCCCACCCACGCGATCCGACGCTTCTTGGCGCAGACGCGCAAGGACGGAGGGGTGTAAGGAGAGGAAGTAGAACATGAATGATAGGGTTGCTGCCATCTACGAGCGTGCAGGGTGGAGGTTAGTCGGCAAGATGGGAGGGGAGAAGAGGGGGAAGAGGGGGACATACGGTATCACGAGCGGCAATGAGGATGTTCAGCGTTTCGTCCCGGAGCAGAGCGGTGTCTACCTCCCATCAGCCGAAGCCCAAGAGAACGGAGAAAAAACCAACCAGAAGTAAGCGTAACCAAATGATCCAACAACGTCTCCCCCCCTTCCTCCTCCACCTCTCCCTTCTCCCCTGCCACCGCTTTCTTCTCATTATACCTCCCAACAGCATCCCTAATAACCGGGTCCAAATACCTATTAACAACCTCCATCGGCTCCCTCGCCCTATCCTTGAATATTTCAAGGAGGGGCCATATACGCCCATACCGCTCCCTCTCAGCAATCACGATCTGCGCTTGTAAAAATGCAGCGGAGAACTGTATCGCCAGGTTCTCTTCCTCCCCCTCTCCTTGTTTTTGTGTGTGTTTGTGTGTGGAGTTGGAATTGAAAGGAAGAGGCAACAACCCGCTCGGCGTCCTCAAACTATCCACACACGACCCAAACAAATGTTCAGTCGCAGCGTCCAAGGTAAATCTATGCATTACATCTTGAAAATCGATAGATTCGCCGGTGAGCATGCGGGATTTGATGAGTGAGATGACGGTGTCTGCGTGTTTGTCGAAGAGCTCGAAATCGGTCATGCGGTCGCGGTTGAAGAAGGGGCGGGTCATTGAGCGGTGGAACTGCCACATCTTGCCTGGGGTATGTTAGGATGAGTAGGGAGGGAGGGGTGGGAGACGGGAGGAGACGTACCGTCTGAATTGAACACCCCTGAACCGAGGACGCCGCCCATTGCGAAACGAAATCGTTCGCCTGGTATCATTTGAGTAAGTCAGTGGGAGGAGGTTAGAGGATGAAAGGCATGCACGCACCTTTGTCGTAATTATCAAAGTCGGTAGCCAGTATCAACTTGATATGTTCCGGACAGACGGTAAAGATATTATTCGCGAACAAGACATTGAAATTGTTAACCAGGCCAAGGGTGTCAACCAATTCCCATATCCCATCACCTAGCAGTCCCAATCAATTAACAAACGAAGGAGGGAAGAGAAACAAACGCACCAGGATACCCATTCCTCCAATGACCCAACAACTCCTCCAAAACATCCAAATTCGCAAACCTCTTCCCCTTAGCTCTAGGTACCAGCCTAGCACCCAGCCTCTCCGCCTCTCGTCGATCTCGAAACTCAGTCCAAAGTATCCCACCCACAATACGTCCTGGAACACTGAGCAGGGATAGGAGTGCGATGGCCCAGGCTGGGATGGGGAGGGCGAGGTAGCGTGTGCCGAGGACGCAGGCTGTGAAGCCTAGTCCTGGGCCTACGAGGTTCTGTGCGAGGAAGGCGAGGCCTGGGGTTATGTGGACCATGGTAGGAGGAGAGAAAGAGATGATTATGATTATGGATTCATTGGCTGGTTCAAGTAGTGATAGTAGCCGTGAATACGCGGCTTGATGGCTGCGACTGAAATTTCAGGTGCGTCGTCAGATGGTAACCAGATCTATATCATCAACCATGTCGTCCACCAAGCCCATGCGCGTCCAAGTCGAAGAATACATCAACGATCTCCAAAACTCCATAGTCCTCTCACTCGAACAACTAGACCCCTCCGCACCCCCATTCAAACGGGACGCCTGGGTCCGCCCCGAAGGCGGCTCAGGCCGTTCCTGCGTATTCGCCCTCCCCCTCCCAGACGACGTCTCCCTCCCACCTCCTCCAACAACCATCCTCGAAAAAGCAGGCGTAAACATAAGCGTCGTCCATGGCCTCCTCCCCCCAGCAGCCATAAAACAAATGCGCGCAGACCACACCTCCATGCCCCTCCCCGACTCCCCCACCGGCCTCCCCTTCTTCGCAGCGGGCCTCAGTCTAGTAATACACCCCAGAAACCCACACGCACCAACCGTTCACGCAAACTACCGCTATTTCGAAATAACCTCCCCAGACACCGACACCGATGAGGACGAAGACGACGACGCACCACCAAAAGTCCTAGCATGGTGGTTCGGCGGCGGCTCCGACCTAACCCCCTCATACCTCTACCCCGAAGACGCCTCCCACTTCCACAAAACCCTCCAATCCGCCTGCGACCCACACGGCCCCCAACTCTACGCAACCTTCAAAAAATGGTGCGACGAGTACTTTTACATCCCACACCGCAACGAAACTCGCGGAATTGGGGGTATCTTCTTCGACGACCTTAATTCCGGTATACACGTCCGACTACCCGATTCTCAGGTCATCACTCCCCGGCCTAGAACACCCGACGAGATATTCAAGTTCGTACGTGCCCTAGGCGACGCCTTTATTCCTTCCTACATTCCCATACTCCACATCCGCGCTACGTTGCCGTATACTCAAAAGGAGAGGCGATGGCAGTTGTTGAGAAGGGGTAGGTATGTAGAGTTTAACCTCGTTTATGACCGCGGGACCAAATTCGGGTTGATGACCCCCGGAGCGAGGATTGAGAGTATTTTGATGAGTTTGCCGGAGACGGCTAGGTGGGAGTATATGAGTGAGATGGGGACGTTGGAGGGAACGGAGGAGGAGAGGTTGTTGAGCGTGTTGAGGGAACCCAGGGAATGGGTTTGATTGGGGTGAGCAGAATTCGAAATTAAATGTATCAAGTATGGACCTCGGAAGGATATTTATGTTATGGCACTTCAACGGAGGATTGTTTCATTTCCGCAAAGCCACCTTATCATTGTCGACGCGCATGACGACAATCCTCGTCCTGGTATCATTTGTCGATTTTCAGCTTATTCAAGCATCGATATCTTTTTCCAGGTCGGCAAAATATTATGGGAGATCGAACTCATGCCAATAGCAGTCCCTATCACGAACTTGATTCGAAATTTAGGAAAGCCACTTCGAATCAAGTTTTTCGGTCCTTGGGATATGTTACATGTGTAAAACTTGGGGAATGTCGGAGTTTTCTAATTCGGCATCTCAACTGGTTCTAACTTGTTGTGGACGTTCCTATCAAAATTGCCGTCATAATTAAGAGCAACCAAAGAGTTTTTGGTTACAATTTTGGTCCCATCCAGGGTGGCAACCTGGTTGCAACAGGTGGCAATGGGAGTTCCGGCGTGATTGTAGCCAATTTTGGGCTAAAAAATGGAAAAATAAAGAACTTTCAACGGTTAGCACTGGTTAGAATGCCGATTCAATGCCGTCCCAATTTCGGCTGGTTGTGACAAAAGAAATAAATCTCCGACAAAATTCGAACCGCTAACGGTGTCTACAAAAGCGCACGCATACAGGGAGCTCATCAATATTCAATGTCGGAAGTCAGTGAAAAAGAAAAAGTCCAAGATGCTTCAGCGCTCAGCCTTGCGATTTCTTGGTTGTCGAATTGGAAGCCTTTGATGAATGGCTTGACTTGAAGCTGTGAGATGTGGATGATATAGAGGTAAGATCCCGGGTGGGTCACCATCTTTTTATGTGCAGAGGATGTATTACTATTAGAAAGGAGTTGAGACGTCTGGGAATTTGAAAGGCTGAGCTTGGTACTGGCATCTGGTGGTCGTTGGACCGCTCCAAAATTCAAGGTCGTCGCTTGGTGCTGACCGTTGGGGTTTTGTTGGGGTTTTGGGGCTTGTGAGCATAATTCGACCAAACATGCGTCCCTCCACCTCTCAACCACCAACATTTCAACAACGCTCAAGCAGGTCACTTGCTCTAGTGCCGGGAAAACACCTCTAGCTATATGTACCTTTACGAGAAAAGTTCCTCATCGTGGGAACACTCACCCAGTCCTGAACAAATCCGCAGCGCAACACACATCGTCAAAACTCGGTTGCACCACTCCAGAGTCCATTTCGCACTCTTTCCGTCTTCAACGGCACCTAGTTCCGGAGTCGTTGATTGAAGGAAGTCAAGAACCACGTCTTGACCAAAGACCTCCTCTTTTGATCCTTTTTGTCAAAACAGCAAGTCCGAGAGAGTCCGAGTCTATCCTTTGTTTGGACCGGCCTCTGCTTTTCCGTGTTCATGGATGGATGGCGACTTTGTGATGGCAAACTAAAACTCCCACAGCATCTGTACCCCAAGAAAAAGAATGACGTCTGCGATAACGACATATCAATGGATACAACCCAAGGTAGAAAGTCTCCGTGGCTGTGTCTTCTGACCGAACATAGAAAGCGCGCAGACGCCCCAAGAAAGAAAGAACAAAGTAAGCTTTCATTGTGACGACAATTCAACGACATATACCAGATACAGGGATTGTGTGGGACGGCTTCAAGTTCTCCGGTCGAGTTGAAGGGTTTTAATAGCTCTCCCAATCCAATTCCAGTTAAATTTCAATACTAATACATTTAGGACATTGACATAATCGATGCTAAAAAAAAAGACAAGAACAGAATGCCCTACTTATGCAGCAAACGCAAGAACAAGAGACAAGTGATGGTAGATATGATTCTCATCTGGCGAGTTACTGGAAAATCAAAAGCGAAAATGAAGCGCATCGATAAAACGGGGCGACGAGTTATGGAACTTTTGGTATGTATTCAATACAGCTGTTACCTCCATGAACTATAGTGGTTCTTCAGAATTTTTGCACGGTTTATCTGCACATCACATTCAACAACTTGGGCAATGCAATATCCTGGAAGAGCTCACCTCGAGGTCCCTTTCCAAGGCTTCGACATCCCGAATGCACTCATTAATATCACGCGAGTGACCCCCCGAGAATGCCTTGATCTCCTGCAGAATCCCCCCGGACGTCAAGAGTGTTTTTTCCTGAAGCTCGAAGGTCCTATAGCGAATCCTTATGAACATACATTATGGTCAGCTTCCTTCTTTCATTTCATAAAAAAGCATCAAAACACCTTCCCATGTTTCTCGCGATTTGAGCAGTGTAAATTGTATCCGACCGACACATGATCCCACTATTGACAGCGTCCTGGAGTTTGCCCTCCAAGGATTGAAGTTGATGTTGCAGCTTTTTCATGTGGTTTTGAGGGCGCATGGAATGCATGATATTGCAGGTGCATATAACACCACCGAGAAGGATGGCTCCAAGCCTCACCAAGTCTTGTGGGATGATGGATAGAATAACCATCCACATTGCTGATGCGATTGCTTGGTGATGCTCCTGAAGGGTCGAAAACATGGTGGGCGGGGGTAAGAGTTCTCGAGTAATCTCTCTTTCACTATTTTTTTTGTATCGCGCACATATATATAGATGCACACAAGATGCCCATCGGGCAAAAAAAAAACGGTATTAGGTCGCACCATATATTGGGGAATTGAGGGCGCCTATATGTGGCCTCTTAAGTACAGAGTACTTAGGTTAGCTGTTCATAAGGACCCCTGAAAATCCTGCAAAATGATAGATACCGAAATCCGGACAAGTCTTCGAAAATTTGAAGGGGTCATCGAGCTCTTTTTTGATGAAACACGAAAACAAAGTCAGAAAGCATGAGAACTTAAAAAAGTCCGGACAAAAACTCCAAAAACAGCCAAAATCAGTATCTACACCGCCAAATGTTGAACATGTGAGAGAAAGGTGGGTGACAAATCCTGACCAGCATCATTTGGCAGCTGTCAGACACGCTGATGGGACCTTTTCCCAACAGTCATTACTGGCCAACGACAGCGTGTCCCCAGGTTGATGTAGCTCTCACGTTTGGGCTGGATGTTGACAACAGCTGTCCCTCCAAGTTGCAGTCAGGTATAGTTCAGATATTGATAACAGCTGAAGGGCCAGGTGGATGTCCAGCGGCAAGGGTGCTTCAGCCCACCTATGCCTATATGTAGTTGGGCTGTATTCCATGGCTTTACGAGCAGCTTTTAGTTAGACCTGTTGAATTCATCTCGGTACATGTATTCATTCAGTAGATATTCAGATTGATGGAAAGCATGAACAAAAGAATGAATTGTGTTGTTACAAGGGAACACAAGAGGTGTTTACAACTACACTATCTACTACCCAATGGACCTGGCTGGTTCATGGATGGGCGTTTGACGTGGTCCGTGGGTGGTGGTGGTGGGTGCTCGTCGCCATTCGTTGACAGTGGTGCTGGGCCCTCGTTGTTGTACGTGGTGGTGATGGTGGCTGTTGGTTGATAGTGGTGGTGGGTGCTCATCTCTGTTTGTTGATGGTGGTGGTGGGCGTTCGACGTGGTTCGTCGATGGTGGTGGTGGGTGCTCGTCATCTTTCGTTGACAGTGGTGGTGGGCCCTCGTCGTCGTTCATTGAGGTGGTGCTGGGCCCTCGTTGTTGTTGGTGGTGGTGGTGGTGGTGGTGGTGGTAGTTATGGGCCCTTGTCGCCGTTTGTTGATGTGGTGATGGGACCTCGTCGCCGTTCGCGGGTGGTGGTCGCAGGCGCTGGCCTTGCCATTTGCCAATAGTGGTGGGCACTTATCACCGTTTTGGCAAACAGAGGAGCCAGGCGAGGGTTTGATGATCGTGGTAGAGGCGGCTGATGCAGCTGCTGCTACATGACGCAATGCAGAAGTAAGTTAGCAAGCAGGTACTCGTCGGGGGAAATACAAAGGGGCAATGGGCGAACAAAAGCCCAGAACAGTTACAAATGGTAACAACCGTGCACAGGCGCACGGGTAGGGAACAAGGACAACCAAAGCATTAAAAAGAGGGAGATTACATGGGGGCACAGGCCAGTGGGTAACAGAACATGGATGAAAACAACAACTCCTTTGATAATGAGAATGGGAGCGAGCTGGGAGTGGAGCAGCCAGGTGACAGGAGATGAGAAGGTAAGTTTGGTTCTGGTTGAAATTTGGAAATAACCAAACATAGCGCGGAGTTTAAAACATCTTGGAGAGATTTTCGAGAGCTTGCCGCACGGGCCTTTTCCTGTTGAGCTCAAAGTTCCCCATTTTTTCCACCTGTAAGAACTTGGAAGCGTTCATTGTATTGTTTTATTACTTTCTTATGATTACTTTCTATCCTAAGTACGCTATTTCGTTGCCCGGAGAAATTCGGCAGAACAGGTCTTCCCGAGGAGAGTCATAAACCTGTGGGCCAGGTGTCGGACTGCTGGGGCTAACATTTACGTGCCAAGCTCCGACACACCTGCCATCCATGCCGAAGCAACCTCCATCAAAAACCTGTCAAGTGGAGATTCGTGCCAGATGCCATCAGCATTTTGTACAAATGGCGGTGTAGCCTTTTGCAGGATTTTCGGGGGTCCTTGTTCATATCACTGACACACTCCCAGACGCCCTTCTCCTTCCACAGGGTCACCCTACCATCTCTGCAGCTGACGGCAAGTTCCCAGCAAGGCTCTATGACACGCGCCACGGGTGCGCCAGAGGTAGTATGTAAATGTAATAAGTAGTATAGCCACAGGGCCACTACTAGGCAGATACCCAACCTGGCAGCTAAGTACACGGACTTCCCGAATTCACACCGTCATATTATTGAACCTTCCAACCCTCCAGCCTTGTGATGACTGTGGCGTAGGGCTTGTAAGGCTATAAGCTCCCACACAAAGCCTCTTCTACCCTGCTGCACGCACCCTTCGGATTCTTGCTTCTAAGTTACATACTGTCATTAGATATCACGTCGGGAAGTTTGTCGATGCTGGATGGCATAACTGCATAACTGATATCAATGACCTGCTCTTCCAGCTAGGTGCAAAATCTTAGCTGTGCGCAAGATGCCGATTCGGCCGCGACGTTCTACTCCAAGCCAACTGAAAGCGCTAAGCACTGAGTACTGAGTACTGAGTTGTTCCTAGATCTTCTAATACTGATCAAACTCTCATGTTGTTGCAGAACGACGACTCCGTCTGTATCGATATCTATCAATCAGTCCGATGACTAGTTGTCCAATCGTTTCTCTCTGCAAACTGCAATTCACTCGCACTGCTTTGTAAGAACTGGTTTTATGAGGATAATGGTCCCTATACCCCAAATCAATCCCCTTCAAAATCCACGCAGACGTATTGAGCATGGACCATAACGTACACTTGATGGGGACCGGCGGTGGGTGAAGCATGGGAAGGTATGGAGTTCAGCCGAGATAACAAGGTTATTGATCTGGCTGCTGAGTTTGCGAGGGTTTATTGTGGTAAGGATGTGGTTGTCCAGACTGCCCGAGGTATTTCAACCCCTCTTGGTGGATGATACGCGGAGGTGGTTCAGGAAGCCTATGAGAGCTAGGGCGATGCTCCCCATGCATACTGTCAAGAACCCGACTTTAGGATCAGCGAAGCGCGTCTGCACGAACGAACGACCTGAGAGAGCGAAATTCCAGGCATAAGGACGTAATTGACACGTGGGCAAGTCGCGAATGTATGCGTGGGTGTTTGCTTTGGCCCAGGGGACGAGCATGGACGCGAAAGTACCACATCAGAATGGGCGCCTTTGCGACAAGTGCTGGGTCGGAATGCATTGCGCACAGTTGCGCTAGGCTGTGGTTATTCAGATAGTCGACTAGCCCGGCTATGTCGAGCCATTGGTAAGCTTGGAGGAAGATGACTGCGAAGGAGAGATTGGGGGGCGAGGTGTGGTGCGATGGTGTGGTAGATGTCATGGTGGGGGGTCTTTTGAAAAACGATGGTCGGCCAAGGTTGACTACCGTTGAAATTCTACGCTCCTCCGGCGCTGACAGGAAGGCCCTCCATTGATCTCGTGGTCAGAAGAAATCACCGGCGTCGTAATTCCAAAATGCTAATGGCAGCAAGTGGCCCACATTTACGCACTTCAAGGAATGGGGATGTTGCTGTCTGATATCTATGATACGAGTAAGTTATCCAATTCCCGAACATTCGGCAACTCAGACATACTGTGGGCCGATGTCGTGTGCATCATAATCGAGGCTCGCTTGGAGGATAGTCATCAACGTGCGGTGCATGCACGTACGATGAGAAGTTCCTTCACTGTTAACACAATTGCACTTGAAGCTTGCATAAACGAAAATTCGACGGAGAATCAGGCTTGTAGCGTTCCAAAACGGCGCTCAGAGTCTTCACCACAACCTCCGACTCTCCTCTACGAAGAACAACACATTAGCAAACTCGCCCAGAAGAAAACGAACATGTGCCCTTCTCATCCACCTTCTCCACACGCTCCCCCTCTTCCTCCAGAGGACCCAACAGCCGTGCCTCCACATCCTCATTTTCCAGTGGATAAAGTCAAACCAACTCAAAAAGGTGGTACAGTAGGCCAATACGCTGAATTCGCCCAGTGCATCCAGTACTTTACAGTGCCCCACCTATTCCTGCAGGAATCCTGCAGGAATGGGGTCATTCCAGTGGAATTCCACAGGAATTCCAGAGGATTCCAGAGGAATTCCAGAGGAATCCACAGCATTCCACTGGAATTCCACTGGAATAGGACTGGAATCAAGCAGAGTAAGTTTTTTTCAACTCCCACCTTATCCTGATGACTTGGCACTCATATTTCCTTATAAAATTCACATGTAGAAGTCATAGATTGAGTTGTAATGAATTTGAAATGTATTACTACACACATTACACAGTTTATCTTAAAGGGAGGGGGGAGGGACAAGGTGGGGATGTATTTGAAATGTACTACTACACACACTACACAGTTTATCTTAAAGGGAGGGGGTAGGGGAGGGACAAGGTGGGGGTGTATTTATATTTTTGGGAGGGACAAGGAAGGGGGAGGGAGGAAAGGGGGGAGGGAGGAAAGGGGGGAAGGGGGGGAGGGAGGAAAGGGGGGAGGGAGGAAAGGGGGGTGGGAGGAAAGGGGGGAGGGAATGGTGGAGCAAGGGGGAAGGGAGCAAGGGGGAGGGACAAGGAAAGGAAGGGAATGGTGGAGGGTAGAGGGAGTGTGGCTGGGACCTCGGCCATCGTCGTCCCGCGTTGGCGTCCCATCGTTGTGTCGCATTTCGTTGTCGTCTCCTCGTCGCGTGTTCGCGTTTTCGTCGTGTGTCCGCGTTTTTGCGTTATTCGTGGGCGTTGTCGTCGCCGTCGTCGTGGGCGCTGGTTGCCGTTGGGGGCGTCGTCGTGGGTGGCGTTGGTGTGGACGTGGTGGTTTTGGTAGGCGGCGTGGTGCCGTCGTGTGTTGTATGGGCGGTGCGTGTTTTTCGGTGGGCGGCGCGTGTTTTTCGGTGGGCGCTCGTGTTTTTCGGTGGGTGGTGGGATGTTTTCGTGGGCGGGGTATGGTTTTCGTGGGCGCTGGCGGTGTACGTGGGCGGTGGGCGTCGTTTTGTGCCCGTCGGGTGTCGTTTTGTGTCCGGGCGCGTTGTTTTCGTGGGCGTTGGGGGTTTTCGTGGGTTACGGCGCTCGTTGTTTCGTGACGTGGCGTCGCCGCGTTGTTGTTGAAGGGTGTCGTGGTCGATGTTGGTGGTCGTGGTGGCCATGGGTGATCGAGGAGCGACGTTGGCGGTGGTGGCTATGGGTGACGGTGATGGCGTGGCGTTGGCGGCGGTGACGAGCATGGTGGTGGTGGTGGAAGAAGAGAGTGGCCATGTTTGGTGAGCATGTTCACCAAACAAACATTGTTTGTGATCCATTGAAAATAAATAAACTATAATACAGTAACAAATAAATAAAATAAACAGATTGGACTGGAATCCCATTCCTGCCCACTCCGGGGAACACCATTCCTGCCCATTCCGGGGAAGACCATTCCGGGGAACATTCCGGTGTACATTCTGGAATCCACCGGAATTCCACCGGAATGGAACACACCGGAATAAACAATTTAGCAGGGCCTTCTGCTAAATTCCATTCCACCGGAATCCACCGGAATTCCACCGGAATGACTGGATTCCTGCAGGAATAGGGGGGGCACTGATAAGACCTCAGTGCATCCTGAAAATATTGGGCGGTCCTTGAGAATTGTGGGAGGTTTGTTGGAACATTTGAGCGGCGAAGTTGGGTTATTGCACGGAGGCATGAGGGGGTGCGGTCATTGTACGTTGGATGGGAATCTCTCGCTGGTTGGAGTGATTGACAGGAGAAGAGATATTGCTCTGCCTCTTAGCTGGAATGAGGAGAGATGAGCGCTGGGGAGAGAGTGAGCTGGGGGGTCAGGATTGGATCAACACGAACGTACGGGAAAGTCTTTGCGAAGAGCTGGGCCCATGGCTAAGTCATGTTTGGATATTTTTCTTCTTGCTGTGGAAGATCCTTCGAGTCCGTGGCAAGTGATGGGAGTCAACGAATCAGACAGGCAACCATTGAAGCGTATTCCAACCAGCTGAACTTGTGCTGAACAGATTGCGCTGTTGGTGAAAGAACCAGGGAGGCGCCTGGCCCGCTTAGTTTCCTAAGAGTTGTCGCTTGGGTCCGTGAAAGGTGTTAGAAGCGCGTATGGCCGAGAGTGTCTGTTCTGTGGTGTTGCTGGCTTGAGAGAAGGGTGTTAGAGGGTGTTTGAGTTGAGGAAAAGAAAGGCTCGGTAAAGTTTGGCTAAAGTCAGTCTAGTTTAGACTCTTGTGACTTGTGAGTATAACAAATCACTAGTTTGACGGCCGTCTGTGGACAAAACTCACTTTTTTTTTCTACCTACATACTTTTCATGAAATAAAGCTGGCAATTGTCAAAGATTGTCAAAGATAGCCAAAGATTGTTGAAGATTGTCAAAGATTGTTCCATTACAGAAACATGTGAAGGAAGAAAGCCAAATTTTGCGAACAATCTTCAACAATCTTGCGGAATCTTCAACAATCTTTCAATTACAGTTAGGCTTTGGTTCTATTTACAACCTGAGATCTTTGGCAATCTTGCATTTTGTAGGTCTGTACGTTTGGTACACGAGCAAAATTGAGACTGAATAATCTTGGAAAATCCCCCATAATCTTCCAGATTCTCAGCTTTCCCTCAATCCCACAATTGAGGGATCTTCAACAATCTTCAACAATTGTTAGGAACCAAGGAATTGACCCTATCTACAAACTTCAACAAACTTCAACAATTGTTGTGACCGCTGCCGCTGGCAAGGGGCTGCGACGGGAAGATCCCGAGACATCCCACTCCCCTGACCATGTACCATCAGCAACCCAAATGGGTCAAGTCCGCATTTAGTAAATAGCTCAGATAACGTCTAAATCAGGAAGGCGGATGGGGATCACATGAGCATGGATTCAAGATGAATTAGAAGAAAATTATATTACAGCGTCCTTGCAACGTCCGAGACATGGAATAAAAGTAAGCAGATACCAAATTCTAAATTTCGGGTGGCTCCTCTTCAAGAGTGATCCCTGTCTAGACAGAGAGAATATTGTTGAGATGGCTCGTTTCGGTGCGCGTTGCTCGACTTCATGATCGCTCAACACACCCAGATTCTCTTTTTCTTCTCCGAAGTCGGCCATCTCATCTCGAATGATCTCAACAACATTGCTATCCAGGAACTTGTTCAAAACTCTCCACTCGTCGGTCTTGAAAGGGGGTATACCCATTCTGAATATCAACTTTATGACAAGTAAAGAACTCACAATTGTGTAAATGTGCATTACTAGCACCCAAGCCATCCTGAAAGGTATTTAGTGTTCGCAGGTCCAGTTAAGTCCAGTTTTTTACCTCAAAACGACGCAACTGGCAACCGCAACCGGTCTAGACCGATTGAGGGACCGCAACCGGACCGCTTTGGACCGGTCTTTTTCGGTCCACAACGCAAAAAAAACCGGTCCAGACCGGTTGCGACCGGTCTTTTGTTGAAAAATTTATTGTGCCAGATATATTAAATGTTACCTCACGTACATAGCATGCGTAGATAGATAATTTAATTCTCCGTACGCTGGCCAAGATTTGAAGCGAATCGGTCAAGATTTGACTGAGATATGGTGAAAACGGAGAGAACATACATTCAAATTGTGTATAAAAATGTTTTTGGCCATATCTCAACCAATTCTTGACCGTTTTTGATGATTCAGGGACCGAAAATTAAGTAAAATATGCACGAGTAAGGTACAATATGTGATGAGACGAAAGACCGGTTGCAACCGGTCTAAACCGGTCTTTTTCGGTTTTTATATATTTACAAAAACATGGCAACTGGCAACTGGACTGATCACAAATGTGGGCAACTGGCAACTGGAAAAGACCGGACTGTGGTTCAGTCCAGTTCAGTCCTATGTATATTTTCAGTCCTGTAGACTGGACCTGCGAACACTAAAGGTATTTACGAAATCTCTAGATGTTCGGTAACTTTCATTTGCATTCTGTTTAGCGAGATTCTTGCACCCCGCTCCATTGCGATGCCTCTTGAGCGCTGTCAATATGTTTATAAAATTTGGGAGAACGAGGGGTTTGTTGAAGGTAGCAATGAGGAAAGACATTATGTGCAGTGCGATCGATCCCCGACTATTTATACGGAATTTTCAAGAACAAGAAGTTCTACAAGGTGGGGTAATATTCTGCTTAATGAGAACGTACTCACTTAAAGGCCCATGAAGCTTGTCCAAGAGCTTGCAGTGCAGCAGGAGTGATTATCTAAGTGAGTGCTGCGACACTGCCTGACTGATTTGGACGAATCTGGCTAATTTACTAAATGCGGAATTGACCCATTTGGGTTGCTGATGGTACAAGGTCGGGGGAGTGGGATGTCTGCGGGATGTGCCGGTCGCAGCCCCTTGGCCACTTGGTAAGCATCACAAGAGAGATGATGTCATGCTTCCCACCTTTGAGGACCAAAATCCGGTCCATTCGGTGTCCGAATGGACCGGATTTTGGTCCTCAAAGGTGGGAAAATACTACATCACCATTGTTTCGAAGTGAGTTTTCATCTGTTTCGCCTGTTGTTGGGCTTAAAAAAATCATCCAGTATGAGGGAATCGCCACCTTCATTTGCGAAAGACTGTGTTTTGTTGTTTTGGCTGTATGTTAAAGTTTTATGCCCAAGGAAGCATTTCATTTAGCGGTGAGTTTTCATCCCTTTCACCTGTTCTTGGGCTTAAAAGAAACACTCAGTACGAAAGAATCTCCATCTCCATTTGCGAAAGACCGCGTTTTGTCGTTCTGGCTGTATGTCAGACTTTTATGCCCAGGGGGAGAATTTCACTTAGCAGTGAGTTTTCATCCGTTTCACCTGTTCTTGGGCTTAAAAAAAACGCACAGTACCAGCAGATCTCCATCTCCATTTGCGAAAGACCGCGTTTTGTCGTTCTGGCTGTATGCTAATTTTTATGCCCAGGGGGAGAATTTCACTTAGCAGTGAGTTTTCATTCGTTTCACCTGTTCTTGGGCTTAAAAGAAACGCTCAGTACGAGCGAATCACCATCTCCATTTTCGAAAGACCGCGTTTTGTCGTTCTGGCTGTATGTCTAATTTTTATGCCCAGGGGGAGCATTTCACTTAGCAGTGAGTTTTCATTCGTTTCACCTGTTCTTGGGCTTAAAAGAAACGCTCAGTACGAGCGAATCACCATCTCCATTTTCGAAAGACCGTGTTTTGTTCTTCTGGCTGTATGTCAAATTTTTATGCCCAGGGGGAGCATTTCACTTAGCTGTGAGTTTTCATTCGTTTCACCTGTTCTTGGGCTTAAAAGAAATGCCCAGTACGAACGAATCACCATCTCTATTTTCGAAAGACCGCGTTTTGTTGTTCTGGCTGTATGTCAAAATTTTATGCCCAGGGGGAGCATTTCACTTAGCAGTGAGTTTTTATCCATTTCATCTGTTCTTGGGCTTAAAAGAAATGCCCAGTATGCACCATCTCCATTTGCGAAAGACTGTGTCTTGTCATTCTGGCTGTATGCTCTATTATCAGCATTTCATGATTGTCTCAGTGTTTTTCCCCCCCTAATGCCAAAAGCGGTTGCGAATGTTGATGCTGGCCTGTGGCCATTCATGATCAATACTTGGCACAGACATTTTATGAGACCATTCCCCTTTCTCTCTACGACATGTATCAGCTGTTCATCTCCTGCTTTTTTGACAAGTCACCTTGCCCTTCCTCCACCATTCATGGTTTGCTCTCCCCAATTTCCCCAATTTCATTGCTCAAACATCTGGGACATTGGGGTTGACCTTCAAATCATTCCCAAGGTATCCTGTAATGGAGAATATTGACTGCACTTTTGAAGGCAGGTTCTGCATATCCAGCACTTTCTGCTTCTGTGGCCTGACCATGAAAATCGTTAACAAGCCGTAGTGTTTGAAGGTTAGGTCAGCTAACTGGAAAATAACTGAGACCAGACCGGACCTAACTGCAAAAAGACCGGACCACAGTTAGTGGTTAGTCAATTCTGAAAATGAAATAACCAGTTATTTTGCAGTTAACTAACTGTTAAAAAACCGGTTATAACCAGTTACAACCGACCCTATTATACCCCTTCAAAACACATCTAAAAGCATGAGAAACACTAAAAGTCTGACAGAGTTATGGTCAAATCTTTAAAATATTGGTGAAAAGAGTAGACTTTCAAGAATATTATCATAAAATCATCAATTCTTCACCAAATTTAGCGTTCTTGGGCTTGTTTTAAAGCTACAATGCATGGTAATAATGTTTACTGCAGGAAATGTGAGAAATATATGCTGTTTTAATTGATTTTCTATTCTTTTGGTCCTAACTGGTTAGTAACTGCAACTAACCGGTTATGGTCAGTTATCTTCGGTCCAGTTAGGTTATTTTGGGTCTGGGAACGAACCCTAACTGGTCTCGGTCTCGGTTAGAGCCCCTGGGCACCCAATAACATAACCTAACCAGACTTTTAAACACTAACAAGCTGGGAGAATTGCAGAAGGAAGTGTTTCTTACCAACATTGCAAGCAGAAATATGAGGAGACACATGGGTGTTGCAGTGAAAGATGATGAAAAAGCTATAACAGAGACCTGTAAGCCTTTTTTTCAACTCAGCTGTTGCCATTGGATCATGAACACTGAAGTGCTGCCTTATCCACAGCCCCCCTCTCCCCTGTCCCTTCACAGTTTGGTACATCCCAAGTTTCTTGGGAAACCTCTTAATGACTATGCTCTTTTCTGTTATGGATCCATCACTTGTCCTCATGCATGCAAGGGGGTGGCAGAACATGGAAAATGTACCAACACTCCCTATTTTTCTTTCATGGATTTGGCTGACCTCCCTCCCCCTGCTACTATATAAGGTATGTTTTTCTGAGTTCTGATGTTTTTTTAATTTTTTTCTTTTGTCACATGGTCCCAGCTTCTAGGAAAGCTGGTCTGCAGCCTGCCAGTCACTGGAAACTCACAAACCTTCAACTCAAAGTTAAAAATGCTTTGCATACAAATCTTGGCATGGAGGAACATAGATTATGTCAAGAAAGCAGTGAGTTTTACAAACTGGCAAAAGCATATTTCCATGTGAAAATGTGACATAGAAAAACTCATTCAAACAAATTTATGTTCAGCTCAGCCATGGTGTACAAAGCGGCTTTGTCTCCCCTTTCGTCAACAAGAGCCTTTATGTAGTAAATTCTTTCTCTCATAAGGAGTTTGTTTGGAGCTTTGAGTATGGCTTGAACACAATTTTGGTGAGTAAAATTGGAGTAAAATGTCTGTAAGGAAAAAAGGAAGTTCCTGCACTCCACCTCATCCTCTATACTTATGTGCAACCCATCACGGCATCCATGGGCATTCTGATGGCCTACACTCCCTTCACCATTGCAGACATCGTAAGTACCTGCCTGGCTCTCAAACAGATGCTTTTATTCTGTTGTTTGGGCAATCTGCAACAAAAATAGACCAGGTCACTATTTTTTCTCAGCCTTCCACCAGACCCCCGTCCCTCCCAGCCAGTGTTCGGGATCCATGTTCCACCACCCCCTTGCATGCATGCGAGCTTTACATCAGTCTTTTACAATGCTGTGTTGACTCTTGAGGATCACTGGGACATCATCATCAATAGCATTGAGAGAGGAGCAATCCCTAATGTCTATGATCTTGACTATTGCAGACAATTTTTAGATGTTTGAAACCCATTTTCCTTTTTATGTTCGACTTGATATTGACATGCATTGGACAGACTTAAATCAAGCCAAATCCACACGACATGGCAGAGCTCCAGTCAATACAAAAAGGGATGGAGGGATGGTTGAAGCAGAACACAACGTCTTTTATGCTGAATCAATGACAAGGTTGATTTACTGACTCAGCCAAGGCAAGGTTGAGCACAGTGGTTATCAGGGAAGTACCAGCCTCTATGGCATCACATCGTCGCTATGAGTTCTAGGTTTGGGAGCCAGGTGGTCATGAGTGAGGTATCCCTTCTTGCAGTGTTTTTGAGAGATTGAGTGAGGTATCCCTTCTTGCAGTGTTTTTGAGAGACTGATTGAGAGTGTGCTCTCAATCGAGACATCCACAGTAAACAGCAACTCATTCACCATGTACAGAGTCATCAAGGCCAAGTTGGATGCCAGCATGGATTAAGGCTGGCCAACCTTCAAGTTACTGGGATGCTTGCAAAGGCAGGAATATATTGAATGAAAGGTGGGATGGAACTAGCCTGGATCCAAGGCGTTAAGGTAGGTTGACCATCATAAGTGGGGTTGACCCTCTTGGTTCTGCAACATTGCAAAGACCACTCAAGCCCTCTGGTGATAAGTATGAAATGAATCTTGGAGCACAGAAGACTGGTTGCCAAAAAGAGACAGATGTCTGACCACCCCAGCAGTACACTGTTGTTTCAACAGACAGTGTTTTTGGTATCCAATATTTTGCACGACTTTCAGGGGTCCTCTGTCATGGCTCAAAATAGCCTTGAAGTCACAGGAACGACAACACCTCCCTGATCATGGATATGCTGATGCCAGTCCTGGTACTGGGCAGGCACCAAGTTGAAGTTATTCAACAATCATTGACAAGATCTGGAGAGAGAATATATCAAATGTAGAAATCTGTCAAATACAATATCAAAGATTGTTGAAGATCATTCATTATTCCTTTATAGATGCAAGTTGCAAAGAAAGTAAAAAAAGCCAGAGAAAGTCAGAAAAAGTCAGAGAAAGTTGGAGAAAGTCAGAAAAAGTAAGAGAAAGCAAAGATTGTTGACATTTGTCAATTTTATGCAAGAAAGTGGAAGAAACTTGGACATTGTTGATGTTGAAAGATAGTTATAGATTGTCAACAATTGTTACCAAAAAAAGACGTAACTACATTGACAATTGTTCAAAAATGTTGAAAATCTTTGACAAAAGCTGAAGATTGTCAAAGATTGTTAACAATCATTGACTTTTGTCAACAATATTCCTTGAAAATTGGGTTCCTCTCAAAAAAAAAACAGTTTTGTCCACAGACGGCCTTCATACACTAGGAATCACTCCGCTAAAAACTTAAAGAAGGCACCGTCAACAGCGCGCATGTCAGCCTGAGCCAAGCCTGAGCAGAGTATGATTGATTGTAGATTTATCTCCTTGCGCCTCAGATTACAGATCATCCTATCTCCTTGCGCCTCACTGTGCCAATCTATGCTGTTGACCGAGCCCTTGTAATCACACTCAACGTCCATAGTACGTCATACTTTCCTCAAATTCCTTTGTCCAGTAGCCTTTTTATTAATAGAGCCCTCGCGACACGGGCCGAAATGGCAATGCACAGGGAGCTTCAACCCACATTGGAACGATTATCCACCATGCCACCGCACTATGTAAGTATAAGTAGGTCGCCCATGTAAGGTGAACATATCAGAAAAACCACATTCAAATCTTTTGCTCCTCGCCTCCGAGTCTCATGTTTTCAGTGACGCTTCACGAGTATCGCCAAGCAATTATCTCAGCGGTGTGGATGGACATTCTATCCATCATCCCACCAGACTTAGTACGGATTGGAGCACTACTGCTGGGTGGTGTGATATGTCTCCGTAATGTCGCGCACGCCATGCGTCCACAAGTCCTCATGGAAAAGCTGCGACTTCGACTGCTAATCCTAGAGGGAAAACTTCGAGACACCGTCGATAATGGGATTCTTCACCTGTCAGATATAAATTTCACTGCTCGAATCGAGAGGAACATGGGAAGGTGAGTATGAGTGTTTTTTCATGAAATAATATAATTACGATCACCACGACAAAATTCAATACAGGGCCTTGGAGCTTCACGAGAGGACGCTTTTGACGTCGGAGGGGATTCTACAAGAGATAAAGGCTGTTGGGAAGTGTCACTCATTCGAAATTAATGCGTGCATTCGGGATGTGAAAGCCTTGGAAAGGGACCTCGAGGTATGCCACCCTTCGGAGATATGGATGTTGCTTTTCTCAAAAAAATGATAAAAATGCGCAGATAAACCGCGCAAAAATCCTGAAGAACCGGTTTCATTCATGGAAGTGACGGCGGAACTGAATGCGTACCAGAATATCCATAATCCTCCGCTGTCCCATTGGACTCCGATACTTTGTCGCAGCTTTGTCTGAGCCTTCGATCTTCCAGTACTCGCAGATTAGAATTATATCCATCACCGTGTCTTGTTGTTTCGCATGATTTGGGCATTCTATTCTATTATTTTTTTTCGGTGTCGGTTAGGTAAATTTTATGAATGCATTAGTATTGAATTCAACTATTGGAGCACAATTGGGGGAGCAATTAGAACCTCCAATGTCACCCGTTCGAGGGAAGGCCTCACAGCGCGCTTGCAACACGTACGAGGGGTGGACGTTATAAGAGCTTGATTTGCCATCGTAAAGACGAATCTTTATCGTAGACTAGAGCCGTGATGATGCAATGCTTCAACGCTTTCCTCTTGAACGCTATGTGGAAGTAATTCAAGGGCCCTGTTGGAGCTAGCGCCAGACCCCACATGCGTACTGTTAGGGAGTTCACCTTCGGATCCTTGACATGCGATGATGATGTATTTGAAGCATGGGCACGTCGCGAATGTGTGCGTCGGGGTCAGAGGAAGCGGGGACGGAAATGAGGGTGGACTGGTCAGAGAATTTTCCTGTCGGTTACTGGGCGCTTTCGGGAGGAGGGCGGAATCCTTGTCGTTCAAGTAGTTGACCAATCCAGCTGAGTTGGACTGTTGGGAGTCGGAGGGAGTGGCTATGACGTCGTGTGCATGTGCAGATGTCATGGTTGATGCTCCTTTGAAGCACGGTCACCAACGTGTGGTCCGTGTATATGAGAAGAGGGGTTCCTTCGCTGCTAGCAAAAAGAGTTGCAATTGATTTGTAATTAACACTTCAGGTGTCGCATGGTTGCCCCATAAACAAAGGTTCAACGGGGCATAAGGCTTGTAGTGTTCGCTCATAGTATTCACCGCTTTTTGCGTAACCTCCGAGTTTCCTCTACAAAGAACAACACACTAGCAAAGTCGCCCAGAGAAAAACAAATGTATTCACCTTCTTCGCACGCTCCCCCTCATCCTTTCTCCAGAGCATTCAACAACCGTGCCTCCACACCCTCATTTTTCAGTGGGTAAAGCCGAACAAACTCAAAATGATGGGGTAGTGGATTGGCTCAGTCCATTCTGAGATTATTTGGTCACGGTCCTTGAAATTTGCAGGGGGGTTGGCGGGGGGAGGGCTGCGGACATTGCCAGTGCGTAGGAAGGGAATCTCCCACAGGTTGGAGTCATTGACAAGAGATGAGATATCGTTCTGGATCGAGAAAAAATGAGCGCTGGGGAGAGAGTGAGCTGGGGGGTAAATTTGGATCAACACGAACGTACAGGAGAGTCCTTGCGAGGAGCTGAATAATACGGTGAGCCGTGCGATTGTGATGTTGATAAAAGAACCACAGGTTCACAACAAAGAGTCTGATACAGGTCGTTCAGCACTCCCAGAAGGCTTTCAAAGGAGCTACCCACCGAATCAGTTTCAAACTGCCCGACGAGTCCTGCTTTTGATTTGCCTCTGGAAGGTTGGGTGAAGGCTGAATGACGTGGTCTGGTTGACTGTGTCTTGTGAGTATAACACGACCAAACATGCCGCTTAACGCCCGTTGCCTCGGCCCTAGTGTGGCGGGAATAGTGTTGCCGAAGTTCAGTTCCGAACCATCGGTTCGGACCGAACTGGCAGAACCGAACGGACAGTTCGGTTACGGTTCCAGTTCTGGTCCGGGCTCGAGTGGTCGGTTCTAGTTCGCAGTTCGGGCATGAGAGAAATTTGAAGAACTGTATTTGAACCGGTTCGAACTGAACTGAACATACAAGTTCTATCTATTTTTTTGTTTGAGAATCGGCCAAGAAACGTTGAATAAGAGTTACATTGGTGAGTGTTTTTGAAGTTTCTGTTTCTTATTCTCAACCTTCCCAACCTCAGGATACAACCCTTCTCTCATCTCGTTAGTAAGCGTTGGTAGAATATAATGGTCCTGGAGACAGAAGAAAGTACATCATGTCGTTCACTACAAAATATTTACTGCTGGCTGTAGCAAAGCTCATTCGTTGTGTGTCCTGCCTAACGATCACCCTTGGCCGGCTTTGCAAGGTTCGTTAGCGCGTTTGAACTGCTGACTTACCATTTTCTTATAGCGTCGATGTCATCCATCAATTCCAACATCCTCCCTTCCGCTCTCGTATCCTAGCACGACCTGCCTCACCCTCCTTCCTCCACTCCCTCTCAAACGCATCAAGCCACCGTTCCTGGATGTCCCTAACGTCGCTTCGTATCCCCTTCATCTCCCCCACAGCGCTTGAGAAGAGCGCAGATGGATGGAGGTGCGGCGGTGTCGTTGAGAGTACCATGGGGTGGATTTGAGGAGGGAGGAGTGATGTAGCTGTACCTTGTTGCACGGTTGATGACGCAGGTGAGATTGATCATTGAGGTTTTGTCCTGAGGCTGGGAGTGCGTGAGATTGTTTGAGAAGGAGAGGGGGGTTGGGTACCTCGACTGCGAGAGTTTTGAATCCAACGAGGCTGTAGTCTTCGGCTAATGATATCATGGCCATGTTCAAGGTGGCGAAACATTTGTGGAGTTGAGGTTGACGATAGATATGGGCTGGGAGAGGGTGGTGAAGAGTTGGTGCTTGCCGTACCAGTAGGTCAATTTGCCGCTGTCTGCTGAGCTGCAGACGATTTCGTCAAAAGGAGTAGTACTAGTTGGTGGAGAGAGAGTAAGTAATGCACGAACAAACAAACAATTAACTGCTCGTTGTTTCAAACGTTCTCCAGCGACGTCCTCGACGCGCTCCAAGACGTACTGTGTTTGATGTTCGACAACTTGCGGTGCACCGTCACGGTAAGCGCAAGGTAAGCGGTCGCAAAACCTCTAGGTGGTGGTACAAACCAACTTTCTGCCGAATTTTTGACAGTTCGGCAGTTCGAACGGAGAACTGAACAGAACTGAACGGGGAAGAACGGTTCTTACCAGTTCAGTCCTGTTCGGTCCTCAGTTCTGCCTGGAGGTCATCAGTTCAGTTCTCAGTTCTCAAAAAGAGGTGAAGAACTGGACTGAACTGAACTTCGGCAACAGCCGCGGGAATTAGGCTCTTGTAATTTGCAGGTGCAAATTTTCCCTGCAAATTTGCGCTAATTTGCTGATCAAAGCTACAAGCCCGAAACCAGCATGCAAATTAGGGCAAATTAGCGAGGTCTTGGGTGAGAGAACAACGGCAGGTTTCGGCGTCATTTTCTGTTAATGGGCATGCTAATGGCTTCGTCGAGGTCGATTTTGGGCGACGTTTGTGAATTCGAGTAACTCGGGATTTTGCTCCATCTGACCCACAAACTCGATCACGTAAAACCTACTTTGAAAGTCGTTCCATACGCCCGCCGTCAAATGTGCACCTAAAGAAATTCTTTAGACTCAAACAGCACGCAAGTAGTCATCAGTAAATAAGTTCCCTCCTCGCCATCGTTGATCCCCCCGTGCAGTTACTTGTGCATTGCTTGTGCACATAACAAAAAAGTTGGTCAAGCAGACCCTAATTTGCGTGAATTAGCTAATTTGCCCTATTTTGCGGTGCTAATTTGCGCAAATTAGCCTGGGCTCCTGGGGGCTGCGCCCCCGGACCCCTGCCTGCAAATTTGCCGAAATTTAGGGTGCAAATTAGGGCCTCTTTGAGGCCCAAGCAAATTTGCTTGGGAGAATTAGGGTACGGGGCTATTTCCCGCCACACTACTCGGCCCTCGCCAAAGCTTTCACAACGTCCGGCCCTCATATGATGCAAGCGCCTTGTTGGAACTTTTTGACATGGACTTGGATAGCTCTAATCGCCACTCTCCCTTGAAGCTGTATGCTCCAATTCAATTGAATTTCAGTACTAAAAAGCATCAAAAAAAAACAGTAATCATGGAAAAAACGCACAAACTAGAGACAAGGAAGATCAAAGCGGGGGCAAAAGTAAAATAATGTATCGACGAGAAGGAGTCAAACACGACACCAGTGACGGATTATGAACCTTCTGGTATGCATTTAGTACAGCCTTCACCTCCATGAATGATACCGGTTCTTCAGAATTTTTGCGCGGTTTATCTGCGCAATTTATAAATTGGGAAAAGCAACATCTCCGAAGGGCATACCTCGACGTCCCTTTCCAGGTATTTGACATCCCGAATGCACACATTAATCTCGAAGGAGTGACCCTTCCAGACAGCCTTTATCTCTTGTAGAATCCCCTCCGACGCCAAAAGCGTCCTCTCGTGGAGCTCGAAGGTCCTGTATCGAAGTCTATCGTGGTCGTCGTAAGTATATTAATTCACGAAACGCACCCATACTCACCTTCCCATCTTCATCTCGATTCGAGCAGTGAAATTTGTATCCGACTGGTGAATAATGCCACTATCGACTGTGTCTTGAATTTTTTCCTCCAAGATCAGAAATCGAAGTTGCAGCTTTTTCATGAGGACTTGCGGGCGCATGGCGTTCATGATATCGCAGATGCATATTACACCACCGACCAGGAGCGCTCCAATCCGTACCAAGTCTGGTGGGATGATGGATAGAGTGATCATCCACATCGCTGAGATGATTACTTGGTGATGCTCCTGGAGTACTGATGAGAACATGATGGCGGGCAAAGAGCAGAGATTTGAACGTGCTTTTCCTGGTATGCTCATCCTTCTTGAATAGGGCAACTTATATAGTAAATCCAAGTGCCTCAAGGGATCCCCGATAAACTCGCCCCCGGAACTCATGCCGGACCTCCAATCTGCAATCTTGGACAAGGGTCTACACGATGTGCCATTGCCAAGGTTCCTGTGAATTTGATGATGCAGTGCGCAAGTCTGTGCAAAGCCAGCCCGTGAAGCCGTTTTCCAATGAGATCTGCTTCGCTCTTTTTCCCGCTAGTAATGAGGTCCACCTTGAGTGACATTTATATGCGGACAAGCCTGCAGTCCGCTTGTTGGAGACAAACATTGGTTGGATTTTGTTATTGCAAGTCCGCTATTTTTAAACAAGAAATGCCCGAGCTTTCCACGAACCTACCTATGTACACGAGCAACAAGCTTCATTTGTAAAGTTCGTTTCCCCACGTTCATTTCCCCCGGTTCATTTCCCCCGGTCCATTTACTCAAGTTCATTTCCCCAGATTCATTTCCCCAAGTTCATAAGTTCCTCACGTTCATTTCCCAAGTTCATTTCCACTGATCCAAAGTTTTTTTGCACTCATCCGAAGTTCATTTGTACTGATTGCCGCCGGACCTGTCTTCGCTCTCACGATAGGTAGGACATCTTCCACAACGACGTGGCCGGTGAGGGTGGAGGCAGTGCAAGGAGCAAATGAATTCATACTTCAAGTTCAAGCTTCATTATCCGATGAACCTCCCTATTCGGAAATCCCTTAGTAGGCGCTTATCGAATTGTGAGTTGGCCGGCACTTATCGATCCAGTAATTTGTCAACCTTCTACTGACCGTGACTTCACTCTCACTGCTTTGTAAGGACTAAGTACCTTTTATTTGCCTCAGTTTATGAGGATGGTGGTCCCCATACCCCAAATCAATCCCCTTCAGAATCCACGCATATAATTGGGAAAGGGGACATTGGACATAACTAAAGCTCCAGAAATGCTAGGTGGGCGAGTCAAAACTCTCCACCCGGCCGTACACTATGGTTCGTACCCTACCTATCTATCCACCTAAATTTGCTCAACAAGTGAACAAACGACAGGAATCCTCGCACGCAACATCCCCTCGGACTCTGAAGACATCAAAGCGCGAGAAATCTCTCCAATCTCCATCGTCGTGTGCAACCTCTCCCCATTCACCGAAACAATCGCGAAGCCGAACTGCACCCTCGCAGGTGCAGTCAAGAAGTCGGTAGTGGTGAGGTAACGCTCCTCTGCGCCGCACACGAAAACCACGAGCACGTTTCTGTCCTCTCCGATCTAAAGGGCTACAAACCCTTCGTCAGTGCGTGGAACGATGGAAAGGGAGACGTAGGAGAGAGCGCCTCTTGCGCTGAAGGCGTTCGAGATGACAGCACAATACGACGAGGCAATCAGTGGGTATTCCAAGGAACAGTACTAGCACCGAGTTGCCAGCTGAGAAAATAGCAGGGCCAGTCCGGAGGATCGCGTTGAGGCGCAAAAGCCCGCGCAGGCCTATCATGTTTCCGAGGGTCAGAGGTGCTTTGTTCATGTAACAGCAATTTCAATGGTGGATCAAATATTTTCCGGAGACGTCGTCCACAAGCCTCTGGCGACAGATGTCCTACCTGGGCCGATTATTAAATTACGTACTAGGGTTGTACAATCTTTCGTTCATAGCTACAGGCTCGTGCTTCTGTTATCCTAGTTGTATAGCCATCGGTGTAAAGCTGGAGAATGGAGTCGCTTTTAGCAAGTCAAGTTGATCTATTGACTCACTGGCTCAATATTCAATAACTATAACCTGACAGCTTCATTTCAAGCAGTCTGCTGGAAAGAAATTTGATTCGCCCGGCTTTGTAGGAACTCCTTCCTATGAGGATGATGGCCATCCAACATCCACGTACACGGAATCGGCGTGTCACAATCTCCTTCGCCTCCTCCACGTCCTTATCAGATTTCGCATCTGGAAATTCAACCGCCATGTCAATTGTAAATTATCCCCATACTTTCTCATATTCACCCACCTTAATCCTCCACCCAATGAACGTTGTGGTACAGCTGCGCGAGATGCTTCAACGCTTTCTTGAACGCCAGGTGGAGGTGGAGCTAGGGCCAGACTTCGCATGTGTACTGTTAGGAAGTCCACTTACGGATCCTTGACATGCATCTGTGCGAACTTTGTGGACTCAGGTGGTATGACCTGTTTGCAAGATGTTGAATCGATGCGTGGGCATGTCGCGAACGTGTGCGTCGGGGCCAGAGGAAGCGGGGACGGGAGTGAAGTGGACTGGCCAGAAAAGTTTCCTGTCAGTTACAGGGCGCTTTCGCAACGACGGCGGAATCCTTGTCGTTCAAGTATTCAACGGACCCGGCTGAGTTAGACCATTGGTAGCCGGAGAGAATGGCTGTGAGTTGGGCTGACATGGTGTGCATGTGTAGATACCATGGTTGATGTCGTTTGAAGACTGGTCATCAACGTGTGGTCCATCCATGTATAAAGAGGTGTTCCTTCGCTGCTAGCAAAAAGAGTTGCAATGTGGCTTGCTTGAGGCCTTAAGGTGTCGCATATATGCCCCATGAACGAAGGTTCAACGGAGCATAATGCTTGTAGCGTTCCAAATCGGCGCTCAGAGTCTTCACCGCTTTTTGCGCGACTTCCCGCTCTCCTCTACAGAGAACAACACATGAGGAAACCCGCCCAGAAGAAGACAAATACGCACACTTTGTATTCATGGTTTTCGAGGCACACTTGCCCTTTTCCTTTTCCCAGAGTATCCAACAACCACACCTTCATATCTTCATTTACAATCTTCACGATATCTTCATCTACGTTTCGTAGTTCTGGCGAATGAGATCGAACTAATCAAAAAGTTGAGATATTATGCCGACGCGCTGGAGCTCGTCCTCACCATCAGTATTTGGCGGCCCTTGAAGGCTGGAGAAGGTTTGGAGGTTTGAGCAGCGGAGTTGGCTAGGTAGGGCGAGGGGACTCGGCCGCGAACATACTGTAGAGAGTGGGCAATCTCCCGCTGTTGGTTTTGCATCAAGGTTTTCCCAGGTGGGTGAATAACCCTTCGAGCTCCAAACTTCCAGGTTATCGCTGAGCGGTGATTGCTGAAACTCTTGGAAGTGCTTCGTTGGTACAAGTTAGCACCCGTAAAACTTCGTCCAAATAAAGACAAGGCCCCTGTGAGCATAACACGACCAAACATGCGGCTCTCCACCATTTAATGTGGATGGCAAAACCTCAAAAAGCATTCGCCACTCGCCGGCTTGGCGAGACGAGTACGTGAGGGCTTGGCAAATGCTGGCGAGTGCTGGCGAAGCTGGCGAATGAGCAAATATAGCATTTTTACTGATTTTAAGCTATCTACGCTACACCTAGTGACCTAATCAATGAATTAGCATCCCATTTATCATTAGAATCACTAGTGTCAGTGACAGCAGTAATTTCGTCATCGATACTGAGGGGTGTTGAGCCTGCGCGAATATTATCAAGGTCAGTTATGTCAAAAACTTGTTCAAGAGGAACATCTGCAGTGATTCCATCGCCTTCGCCTGTCGGTAACTGTTTATCCAGCTTGTCAAATTCCGCGTCGATTTCTTCTTCCGTTATCTCCTCGAGGCCCTCAAGGTCACTGTTGAAATTGGCTGGGAGGGGAGTCCAATTATACGCCTGTATCAAATCCTCCGCCCTTTCCACATTAATCCCCCCATCGGCTTGAGTATGCATGTGCGCATGCTTTCGACGCGTTGATTTTCCCGCCTTAGTCGCTTCCTCCTGTACTTGGCGTGTGTAATGATTTCGGAGCGTTCCCAGTGTCTTGAGATGAGGTATCGTGAGACGGGAACGCTTGACACTTTGGATGCCGCCAAGGTTGGAAAAGAAGCGTTCAACCTCAGCCGCGTGAGGAACGATGCTGAACAACTTGATTGCCAGGGCTTTGAGAGGGTGGGAGGCGACGCTCACGAGGAGGGACTTCCACCAATCCCTTCCATCAGCTTTCCCTCCCTGAAACGGTCCCTGCACATGAAAATACCCTTTGATATCCCTGAGCAAGGCTGTTGCCATCTCCCTGCTCCAACCCCAATTCGATGCGATGGCGAGTGATATTTTGTATGCGTCCTCTAGTTTGTGTGAGTGACGAGAATTCGAGATGGCGAGTTTTCGGCAGAGGGGGTGGAGAAACAGGCAAAGCCAATGGAGGTCAGTGTTCATCTCGTGGAATTGAGTGTTCAAAACCCGCTGGGCGTGCTGCAGGAATCCCGAGTCATCTCCAGATTTGAGAGGTAATCGGGTGACTTCCCGATGGGCCCAGATCAGCTGAAGCATGCAGTCTGCCAAGGTAGCGTCTCGAGCTTCAACGTCGCCAATGATGTCGACCAAGGGTTTGCAAACCCGAATCAGCTGGTCCGTCCGTTGCCAGCGATCAATGTCGAAGACAGTTTTGACGACATCCTTCGCAACTGGAGTCAGACCGCCAACTGAGTGTTGTGCGTCGTGACGAAGGCAGAGCGTAGTCAACGGAGCCTTGTGATCCCGTACGCTCAGCGCTTGGAGGATAAGCGCATAGAAACGCGATTCCGTGTTGGTTTTTAGGCCGCGCGTGACCTTGTTTTCTTTTGCAATGATCTTGAGTTGGCCTCCCCAATAATGTGACGAGTTGAAGAAAGAAACAATACGTGAATTTGAGGTAACAGTCTTCTTGATGCTCGGGTAGCTCACAATCTTTCCGATTATCGTATTGATGCTGTGCATGAAGCAATGAATTGTCTGATACTGTAAGATAAGCTCTGGGGATGCAACATAAGGTTATGCACTCACGAGAATCCATGGATACTCATTCTTCCATTTTCTGCGAAATGCAACCATCGGGGTAGGATTGTCAGTACAAACGGCAATAATGGACTTGGGCTCAACGCTTTTCTTTGCCAGGGCCTTGGTCGCAACGTCGCAAAGGTTATCTCCAGTCGCTCTGATCCCGGTCAGTTCCTCCACTCCCAACACCACAGGAAACTCCCCAACTTCGGCAACCATGCACCCATAGACGCTGCGTCTTTGGCTGTCATCCCACCCATCCATGAGGTATGTGAGATTGTTCCTCCCCTCCAACCTTTTTACGTCTGCAGCGAATGCCTTTGCTTCCTCACCAGGAAGGAGTCGCTCCATCAACGTACACTACCTGATCAAAAGTAATGTCACATCATTTTTTGGACAAAGTTGGTGCTATAACACAAGAACCAAACCTTTAAAGAACTAAGCTCTGGTGTATGAAACATAGCTAAGGAGGTGTAGATTGTACATACCAAGTTTGGGGGTGAACAAATAAAAACTCAGGATAAGGCAGGGCATTGACTGTGACAACTTCCAAAAATGGGATGCAACAAAATGGGAAAATTCTGAATGACTGCAACCTACTGAAAGCAATTCACCACTTGAAGAAGAGATATTTTGTACACTGGATCTCCCTACTATTGTTATGAGCTCCCTCAAGTATCTATGCTATAAGCTTCTATATTCTATTCTAAAAGGTAAATTCAAATTTATTGCCCTCCTTGCCCATTCCCAGCTAAAAATGTTTCTGAGGATTGACAGGAGAAGGCATCTATTGTCATAGTATTGTACAGATACAGAATTATTACTGTTACATAGTCTTATCTGACCCCATTCACAAGATTTAAGCATGCAATCATTATTTAAACTCAATAAAGTGTGAAAATTAAGAAATGTATCATCATTATCATTCCCAGAAAACCTACTTCCAAAGGGTTACAGTCAATATAGTTAATTTGAACTGTCAATGGTAAGTGTTTCTACCCACCTTTCAAGTTTTGGACACAGATGCTTCTCATATGGCCTGCAAAGCTCACTAAATCAATTAAAATCATGACAGAGGGATGTCTAAATCTGGCCTAGAAAGGTCTGGGGGTGTCAGATCCTTGTATAAATAGGACCTCTGTTGATTTCTTTGGGGTGGTGTTCCTAGGTATGAGAAGTGCCTTGTGAAATATTTTCAGCCCCAATTCACCAAGAAAAATGTCAAGGATTGGTCCAGGACGATTGCTCTATGCAAAATGTACTTTTGTTGGGGACTTTTCAAGTTATACCCAGTGTAAATTTATTTGCTATCATATTATACCTCAGGTGTTGTCTAAAGGACATCCTGAGTCTCCATGGATCAACTCAAAAGAATGGTAGCATTTTTTCTTCTTGCAGAAAAGAAGGACCAATGTTGTAGATGCTTGTTTACTTTCAGAAAAACTCTGGAAATTAACTTCTACAGACATCATGCAATGTTCATTTTTACATTTCTACCTACCTTTTGTATTATACACACTACAAACATTAATAGGGAGTTAATTTGCCCCATTCCAACAAATATGTTGAGTGAAAAATACATAAAGTGGAGACCAAGTTCAAATTTACCTTTTAGGGAGGATATAAAATTTTCTGGCCCAAGGACTTTATGAAGCTCATGACAATAGCAAGGAGATCCAGTGTTCAAAATGTCTCTTCTTCAAATGGTGAATTGCTTGCAGTAGGTTGCAGTCATTCAGAATTTCCCATTTTGTTACATCCCATTTTTGGAAGTTGTCACAGTCAATGCCCCGCCTTGTCCTCAGTTTTCATTTGTTCACCCCCAAACTTGGTATGTACAATCTACACCTCCTTAGCTATGTTCTATACACCAGAGCTTAGTTCTTAAAATGTTTGGTTCTTGTGTTATAGCACTAACTTTGTCCAAAAAATGATGTGACATTACTTTTAATCAGGTAGTGTATAACGAGATGCAGGGCCGTAAGACGGACGTAACGTCTGAACCCATTTCCAAAAGAATGGGTTGTCAGCAGCAGAGAACGGAATGTTTCCGTGAATGAAGAATCTGTAAGTCTTAATTATTCAATAGCGTTCCATGTATTTCCTTTTCACAAACCTCAACATCTGAATGTTTGCCTTATTAGTCTCCACTTCTGACATTGCTCTATCAAAGAATGCATCGATCGGGTGTTTCACTGCCACGGCAGACCCTGACTTCCCCTTTTGCTTCTTCCCCACACCAGATTCCTCAACAATCTCAACGTCACCGTCCTCATCTGATGAGACAGCCTTCTCAATCCCTGCTTTCAACATCAGCAAGCGCCCAGCTTCTCTGCGCACATCCGGAGGCACATGCTTGCAGTTGCCTTGCCCGTCGGTCTTTGCTAGATGGGAAAGGCAGCGTACGTCACGGTGAACGATCGGGGTGGCTTCAGATGCCGGGCAGTATTTGCACGTCATGATCCATCGGTGAGATTTCGTTCTTGTGTCTTGCTCTCCTGTGAAGTGTTTGTGGATAAAGGAGTCTTTGGGGTGCCCACCCTTATTTCTGCTTGCCATGAGAGTTGTAGGGGTAATAGATATTATTCTACACTACTGAAATGCCACGTCCTTCCCGAAAATTTACTTTCCTTTTTTGGCTTTTGCCAGGTCTCGCCACCCTTTTTTAGAATTTTCATTTCGCCAGCTGGCGAAACTGGCGTGGCGAGCTGGCGAGCTATTGCCAACAACACTACCACCATTGAACCAACCGTCAACGCGTCAACGTTCCAACAACGATGCTTTACTTAGCAGGTCGCTTGCACCTCACTTAGCACGATCACAGCTCTACTCACCCGACAACACCTCTGGATATACCTTTACGAGAAAAAATTGACTTTGCGATGGCAAACTAAAACTCCCACAACGTCTGTCCCCCCCAGTCACACGCAATGTGGGGGATGGCTTCTCCCGTCGAGACGGGGAGTTCAAATTCCTCTCCCAATTTGTACGCTCCAATTCCAGTTGAATTTTAATACATTTAGAACATTTACATAGTCGACACTGACAAAAACGAGAATAGAATGTCTGAGTCATGCGACAAACGCACGAACAAGAAAGCAGTGGTGGTAGATATGATTCTCATCTGGCGAACTACTGGAAGATCGAAAGCGAAGACGAAGCAGAAACAACGCATCGATAAAATGGGACAGTGCCAGTGACGGATCATGGAACTTTTGGTATGTATCCAATACGGCCATTACCTCCATGAACTATACTGGTTCTTCAGAATTTGTGCATGGTTTATCTGCGCATCGCATTCCAGCTAACTGCATAACCGTAGACCATATCTAAATTTTACTTTGTGTGCCTTTATTTGTACAAACAACCGTATTAGGTAGCACGCCCATCCAAGTTGGCAAGTCCCAACCGCTCCACCGTTATGATGTGCAGGGCAGGATTGGAGTGTTTGGAGCAACTACCGAAACGGTGCTAGAACTTGGAGCAATGGGCAGCGTGCACGAATCGGCGTCATGGTTTACATAGCCACAGCCTAAAACAGATGTTTACACACAGACAAAGGCACAAAGTGAAATTTCAGATGTGGTCTATGATTATGCAGTTAGCTGTCAATAAGTTGGGCAATGCAATACCTTGGAAGAGCTCACCTCGAGTTCCCTTTCTAAGGCTTCGACATCTCGAATGCACTCATTGATATCATGTGAGTGACCCTCCCAGAATGCCTTGATCTCCTGCAGAATTCCCCCAGATGTCAAGAGCGTCCTTTCATGGAGTTCGAAAGTCCTGTAGCGAATTCTAATGAGAATGCACTGTGGTCAACTTCCTAAGTTATGTCATCTCATCAAACGGCATTGACACTCACCTTCCCATGTTTCTCGCGATCTGGGCAGTGAAATTTGTATCCGACCGACACATGATCCCACTATTGATGGCATCCTGGAGCTTTACCTCCAAGGATTGAAGTTGATGTTGCAGCTTTTTCATGCGGTTCTGTGGGCAGGTGGCATGCATGATATTGCAGATACATATAACACCACCGAGAAGGATGGCTCCAAGCCTGACCAAGTCTTGCAGGATAATGGATAGAATAACCATCCCAATGGCTGATGCGATGGCTTGGTGATACTCCTGAAGGGTTGAAAACATGGCAGGCGGGAATAAGTTCTTGAGTAATCTCCCTTTCACTGAGTTTTATATCGCGTCCCACACATAAATGTATGCCTTAACTTTCCAAGGAACACCGCACAGCCTCGCTCCTTGCCAAAAAGAGCAGCACCACTTATTTCATCCCGATGAGACACTGATACCCAGACATATGCACCCAAGTATGCACCCAGCTTCATGCACCCAGATTCAATCAGCCCGATTAGTTCGCACCCTGATTAGCTCGCACCTGTAAGGGGTGTACCAGTAGTTGTTTCAAACTTTCTTAGTGACGCATGATTTCTGGCTCACCACTTTGTCAAATTCTATGATCTTTTTTGCAACTCATTACAGCTGAAGGCAGAACGATAGGCCAAGCCAGATCAACACATGCACAGGGCAGACCCTTAAATTTTCAAAGCGATGTGATGGCTGAGGCCGCTGAGTTCTCACAGGGTGTGAAATTTCAACCTCCGGATTGCTGAGACCCTATACCACCATAAAATTTGAGAGTCCGCCCTATGTTTGTGTTGATTCGGTATGGCCTATCATTCTGCATTCAGCTGTAACTACTATAGGAATTTCTAATTTTTTTGGCGTAAAGGTGTTGTCACTGTTGTGCTTTGAAAATATCACATGATTGAGTCTAGTTTTGATTTGTTCTTTGTCCCTACTCCCAACAGAACTTCATCTTTCTCTCCAATTCTTTTTAGTTAAACTTCTGTATATCATTGAAATGTATCTGGAAAGTTTTAGAATAAACGGTTCAGCCAATCTGGAGGAATGTGAGAGACCATTCCGTTACTTGTGTTTGTCTGTAAAGAGTCTAAGCGTGTCTCCAGAACACAAATCTTTGAATCTCTCTCTAAAAACTTGAGGCAATAGGTGGCATGCATATATACAGGACCTGGGAAATTCATCTCAGATGCCTGATCTTTGGTGGGCAAAATATTCTCATGGTTTTTCCTTTAACTTGTGCATTGGTTGAGAGAATGGGAACCATTTTCGAAAAAAAAACAAATCTAAAAAGTCAAAATTTGTCCACACAATCCTCCAAAAGGGCAATTTTTGTCTGCACATGAAAAATGGTCCCTGGCAGGCCATTTTTTGTTTTCTCGCCTCAACTCGGCCTGCAGCACATTTTTGATTTTTTGAGTATGGAGATCAGGCACACCTATGGTTACCACATAACGCCTCTAATTAGAAGTGGTCAGTGATTGCCTGAACCCCTCTAAGGAGAGGGCTTATATCGATATTCCCATCAGTTCAGTTAATTGTTGAATAACTCGTGTGGGACTTCATCAATTTAGCCCTCCCTCGGTAAGTATTATCCGGTGTACCTTCCCGCCGTTCTCAGGCTCCCTATTGGGAAGGTCGTCCCATCAGCGACACCACATGTGCCTTCCCATCACGCTCCGTTGCCAAATGCGGACACGGCGGTTGGCGCGTGTGACTTTTTCCGTGCTCACTGTTTGTGATGATGAGCAGCTGTATTCCACTGTTCCCAGTCCATTCCCTTTGCTTTTTCTTGCCTAAGCCCACACAATAAGCCTGTAAAGTAGTATTATATGGCTACCTGCATGTAAATAGGCCACAGAGTTGTGTAATCACCTACATGAATATGCATGCTCATCCCCAGTACCCATAGCCATCTACAGAGAGACTAAGAGACCCAATGGCCAGCTTGGATATTCATTATTAGAGTGTATGAGGGAGGGTATATAACTGCAGGGCTGTGGGATGGCCAGAACATATCTATTCTGCAGGTGTAATATACCCCAGCTTCCTACCTCTACTCACCCACTCCCAAGGTACCTATATCTAAATTAAACACATAGAGCTACTAGGATAGCTATTTAGAAGAGTTCTGGGTATCTATTTTCGCTATTTTATGGGTATGAAGGGTACCATGGCCTGATATCTCCAAAAGTCATCTCAGTTCCTGGGAGACTATCAGGTCATTGTAAGTGTATTTGAATCAGCTAAAGGGTAGTTATACAAGCTATAAAAAGGTTCACCAGGTTTAAAAGTGAGCGCCTTTATGCTATGGTAGTATTTGAAGTGGGGGATGAGGAGGTATACCTGGGATCAGTGATCAAGCCATACCTCCATCAATAAAAATTATCTGAACATTATTAGGACAGCTATGGGTGCTTTATGAGTCCCTTATATTGACTTACACAGACCATGTTGCCCACAGAGAAGGTGGTAAAATGCTATCCAGGTAGGGGGAAGGTGTGTGCAAAAAACACGAAATCTCTCTCTTCTGAAGGGAATTCTCTACTAAAAATATATCTGGGTACATAGATGGTGAGCTTAGTGTAACTATAGATGGAATACCGAAAAATTTGGAAGATTGAGGAGATGTATGTCTCCATATGCACGAAATGGATGTCAAAGGAGGTACATCAAAAGTGGAGGATTATGATCAAAGTTTGGCTACATATCTCCAAACAACACATTAGCCTCTTGGATTTGATTGTTCACCCTACAGCCAACCAATCTGTCTGAAATTTGGATATGCTTTAAAAGCTATACTAAGCTCACCATCTATGTACCCAGATATATTTTTAGTAGAGAATTCCCTTCAGAAGAGAGAGATTTCGTATTTTTTGCACACACCTTTCCCCTACCTGGATAGCATTTTACCACCTTCTCTGTGGGCAACATGGTCTGTGTAAGTCAATATAAGGGACTCATAAAGCACCCATAGCTGTCCTAATAATGTTCAGATAATTTTTATTGATGGAGGTATGGCTTGATCACTGATCCCAGGTATACCTCCTCATCCCCCACTTCAAATACTACCATAGCATAAAGGCGCTCACTTTTAAACCTGGTGAACCTTTTTATAGCTTGTATAACTACCCTTTAGCTGATTCAAATACACTTACAATGACCTGATAGTCTCCCAGGAACTGAGATGACTTTTGGAGATATCAGGCCATGGTACCCTTCATACCCATAAAATAGCGAAAATAGATACCCAGAACTCTTCTAAATAGCTATCCTAGTATCTCTATGTGTTTAATTTAGATATAGGTACCTTGGGAGTGGGTGAGTAGAGGTAGGAAGCTGGGGTATATTACACCTGCAGAATAGATATGTTCTGGCCATCCCACAGCCCTGCAGTTATATACCCTCCCTCATACACTCTAATAATGAATATCCAAGCTGGCCATTGGGTCTCTTAGTCTCTCTGTAGATGGCTATGGGTACTGGGGATGAGCATGCATATTCATGTAGGTGATTACACAACTCTGTGGCCTATTTACATGCAGGTAGCCATATAATACTACTTTACAGGCTTATTGTGTGGGCTTAGGCAAGAAAAAGCAAAGGGAATGGACTGGGAACAGTGGAATACAGCTGCTCATCATCACAAACAGTGAGCACGGAAAAAGTCACACGCGCCAACCGCCGTGTCCGCATTTGGCAACGGAGCGTGATGGGAAGGCACATGTGGTGTCGCTGATGGGACGACCTTCCCAATAGGGAGCCTGAGAACGGCGGGAAGGTACACCGGATAATACTTACCGAGGGAGGGCTAAATCGATGAAGTCCCACATGAGTTATTCAACAATTAACTGAACTGATGGGAATATCGATATAAGCCCTTTCCTTAGAGGGGGTCAGGAGGACCCCCGAAAATCCTGCTAAATGGTAGATACCGATCCGGACAGAATTTTTCAAAATGAGGCGCTAGGATAGATACAAACCGGACAGGTTTTCGAAAACATCAGCAAAATGCTAGATACAGAATCCGGACAGGCTTGCAAGAAGAATCAGAGGCTAGATACTAACTGGACAACTATGGTCACATAGCTCAACGGAAAAAAAGTATGTACTTTACGAAGCCTGACATGTGGTCTGTGGTTCGAACCTTTTGCCGCACAAAAAAATTTGGCCCTGACTTAGGCTAGATACAGTCATCAACCGGTCAATGACACAAACATTTTTATTGACTGAATCACATCCCTCACACATCGACTTCTCAAAAACTGAATTGTACAAAATCTGATGAAGTATTTACACTACACAATTTAGTACTTAAAAACTTGCTATCTTGCCAACTTTTTGAGGACTGAATTTTTCGGTTGAAACAGTGTCAACACCATTCAATGACACAGTCACAGGTTACTTGATTGGGATATGGCATCAAGATTTGTTTTAACTTATCTGAGAAATATCTTCCTCAAGGGACTCATGTTAGTGCACCTGGAGTTCTCAAGTATTGAACAGAGGTCATCCATGCATTTTAGGCTGTCAGCTGAGGCAAGGCGGAGGAAAGATTTTCATTTGACGAGTAAACCCAATTCGGATGTGTCACAAACTCTGTCACATTTGGTTACCCATCTCAATGTCATTTCACACCTTTTCCTTGCTGACAGTCCAGACAAGCCCCTACACTCTAGATAAATTTTGATTATTGTACCCTATGTAGTTTGTATTGGAGGACTGTCAAAATAAATCTCAGTCTTCATGAGGTTGTTGCCAGATCAGGGTAATGGAATTGTTGAAGTCTGATCAAAACCAATGAATAGAGCTTTTAAGGAGTTCAAGAGAGGCTGTTGCTTCAAAAAAAGCACAGTCATAATGATATAGTATTCCCTTACAATGACATAAAATTTCTAAGAGATGCGAGCAAAAATGGTGGAGTAAAACTGTTTTGTGTCATTGACCCAGCTGTGTCATTGACCTGTTGATGACTGTACACAGTTCGGACAACTTTTCGAAATTTTGGTCTAGGCTAGATAAAATCCGGACAGACTTCGCCAAAATTGGTACGGACAAGAATCTGGAAATCGGCAATTTCAGTATCTATCATTTAGCAGGATTTTCGGGGGTCCTGGGTCAGGCAATCACTGACCACTTCTAATTAGAGGCGTTATGTGGTAACCGTAGGTGATCAGGCATTTGACATGAATTTCCCAGGTCCTATATATACACCCTGATGGTACCTCAAAGTGCTGTGTGGTATTTATTCTCTCCTACTTGGAAAAAGCGGGTCGATCCGACGCCCATTCAGATAGGCTATTGAAGATTGTAATAGTTGCTCTCCAACTCATTTTGATGGCATGGTGGATAATCGTTCCAATGCGGGGCTAAAGCTCCCTGTGCATTGCCATTTCGGCCAAGGGGGGAGCGGGATTTGAATCTGCCATATGGGGTCGGTTGGTTAGTCCAGCCAGCAGGCCGTTAAACTTTTTTATTTAAAGTACCAATTTCAGGTAATCTATGGGTCGGATGAGCTCAGTGCGCTCTCTGAGGCGTTCCGCAAGCTGTCCTCACTTACCAAGTGCAGTACTTACTATGCTATTCACACTTGTGATCTAAGAAGCCTGGTATATGATATAGATTGAGGACAATATTTGAGATGATAAAACTGTTTTCTGTCCACATTGTAATTGAGGTGAGAGTGATGCAGTTGAGGCAGAGGACAAAAGCAGAGTAATTATCTGCAGGTAAAAAGGCTGTGAGACATTGTGGGTAGGTCTTTTCTTTTTGTGTCATTTCAGCCTGACCACTGACTATGCAGTACCACTTTTCATGGGTTGGACTGCCAGTGGATCTTGGTATCAATGACTGGGTTTGTGACCCATGTAAGAGCATGAAGAAAAATAGAGGAAGGGGCAGCAAACGAAGGATAAGACGACGGCTGACATTGGGCTGACATCCCAAAATATGTTACCTATTTATAGATTTACCTATATATGGAAGGTTGTTCCCACGCCTGGTTGGTTAGTCCGGCCATATTGGCCTTACCAAAAAAATCAACATGATATATTAAATTAAAATTGTGCTCCCCCCTTGATTTCGGCTCGTGCTCGTGAGGGGCTTCAATTCTTCTGAACAAACCCAGTCCTACGGGAAGTTGTCCAGTACAGCAGCGGTAGCAAGGTAGGGTCGCCCGTTTCATGTACTGCCAACTTTTCGCCATCTTTGTTAGAATCTCGGATTTTGTCGTGCACTTGTGGCATACGCCGCCGTAGTGCCCGTAAATCCTCACACAAAGCCAGACTCCAAAATGCAGCTGCTCGACTCGCTCGATGACCCTCTAAATACTATTAGCGTATGACAAATGTGATCATTGATGGGAAAGAGCTCGCGAGTATAACTAATCACTCCACTCAAAAGCACCGTCACGGTCAACCGGTCAACAGTCATCGATTTAGATCAAAGATCCCTAAGCAAGGTACTTGTTATCTCCGCCTCAGAGTGCCAATCTATGTTGTTGACCGAGCCCTTGTGATCACACTGAAGATCCGTAAAGACACAGAGACATGTAATATATCCTGGTTCGAGCCGAAATGGCAATGCACTGAGGGAGCTTTAGCCCGCATTGCAATTACAGTATCCACCATGCCGCCGCACTATATATATAGGTGGCCCATGTAAGGTGAAAATATCAGAAAAACCACGTTCAATTTTTTTGCTCCTCGCCTCTCATGTTTTCAGTGACGCTTCATGAGTATCGCCAAGCGATTATCTCAGCGGTGTGGATGGTCATTCTATCCATCATCCCACCAGACTTGGTACGGATTGGAACACTACTACTGGGTGGTGTTATATGTCTCTGTAATGTTGCGCACGCCATGCGTCCACAAGTCCTCATGGAAAAGTTGCGACTTCGACTTCTGATCCTAGAGGGAAAACTTCGAGACACCGTCGATAGTGGGATTATTCACCTGTCAGATACAAATTTCACTGCTCGAATCGAGACAAACATGGGAAGGTGAGTACGAGTGTTGTTTCATGGAATAATATAATTACAATCACCACGACAGAATTCAATACAGGGCCTTGGAGCTTCACGAGAGGACGCTTTTGACGTCGGAGGGGATTCTACAAGAAATAAAGGCAGTCGGGAAGGGTCACTCATTCGAAATTAATGCGTGCATTCGGGATGTGAAAGCCTTGGAAAGGGACCTCGAGGTATGCCACCCTTCGGAGACTCGGATATCAATGTTGCTTTTCCTGATTGATAAAATGCGCAGATAAACCGCGCAAAAATTCTGAAGAACCGATTTCATTCATGGAAGTGACGGCGGAACTGAATGCGTACCAGAATATCCACAATCCTCCACTGTCCCATTTGACTCCGATACTTTGTCGCAGCTTTGTCTGAGCTATCAATCTTCCAGTATTCGCCAAATTAGAACCATATCCATCACCGTGTCTTGTTGTTTCGCATGATTTGGGCATTTTTTTTCGGTGTCGGTTAGGTAAATTTTTCGAATGCATTAGTATTGAAGTTCAATTGGATTGGAACACAATTGGGGGAGCAATTAGATTCTCCAATGTCAGCCAGCTCGAGGGAAGGCCTCACAGCGCGCTTGCAACACGTATGAGGGGCGGACGTTGTAGGGCCTTTGATTTGCCATCGTAAAGATGAACTTTTCTCGTGGACTAGAGCCGTGATTATGCAAAGTGAGGTGCAAGTGATCTGGCATCGTTGTTGGTGACTGATGAGAGGCATGTTTGGTTTGTGTCTGGACTCGTTTGGTCGTGGTTCGCCTGTGCGGGCCGAAGGCCCGAAAGCAGAAGGCAGGCCGACAGAAACGTGCAGGTGCCAGGCGCCCATGTCAACCGCTACTTATCGTTCACTTTCTGTTTAATCAACGGTGTGGCGGGATCAACGTGAGTGGATCAGAACTCGAACCATACTAGGAAGCCGACATACACAACCTCTGGACAATTTCCAGGCCAGACGATTCGTGTTGAGCTATAGGAGCTGCAGAAGGCGGAGCGGGGCAGAAAGTATACTCGCTGGGTTTGACCATCACGTCGATGATGATTCATCGTCACCCAGGTATGCAAGAGTCGATCGGCGTCCACTCTATCCACCCCCTGCCGTTTTGTTCGTGTGTTTGAAGTAAATCAAACAGATTCCGGAAGGCGATGGGAGAGCATAAGGAACAGAAAGTTCGGTGATGCATGAATTCGCCGACGAGATATCGATACCACAAAGTTCGAGATGGGCGCGTACTATAGAGTTGTGAGTCCGAGTCGTTGTGAGTTTACTACTGTCCTTTGTATACTTCTGCGACTTTTCTCGCACTGCTTTGCAAGGACTACTTTGTATGAGGATGCTGGTCCCCATACCCCAAATCAATCCCCTTCAAAATCCACGCATACGGATCTGGCGTATCAGGCTTGGGCACCTCCTCCGCAACCTCCTTTTCCTCCTCAACAACATCTTTATCAAAATAAACCCTTGCAAACTCAGCAGCTAGATCGATACCACTCGTTATGCCAGCCGCGCTCCAAACCTTCCCATCCTTCACCCATCGCCTGTCACCCACCCAGTGTACGTTATGGTCCAGCTGTCCAGACTGCGCGAGGTGTTTCAACGCCTTCTTGTTGGATGCTACGCGGAGGTGGTTCAGGATGCCTGTGCGAGCTAGGAGAATGCTCCCCGTGCATACTGTCAAAAACCTGACTTTGGGGTCTGCGAATCGCGTCTGCACGAACTCTGTGAACTCGGGCGGAACGGGCGTGCTAGGTGAATTTCCAGGCATGAGGACATAATCGACACGTGGGCAAGTCGCGAACGTGTGCGTGGGTGGTTGCTTTGGCCCAGAGGACGCGGGAATGGGGTCGAGCGTGGACGCGACGTAGTACCACGTCAAAATGGGCGCCTTTGCGACAAGTGCTGGGTCGGCGCCCCTTCCGCGCAGTCGCGCTTGGCTGTGGTCGTTTAAATAGTCGACTGGCCCGGCTGCGTCGAGCCATTGAAAACCTGGGAGGAGGATGACTGCGAAGGAGAGATTGGGGGGCGAGATGTGGTGCTCATGTGTGGTAGATGCCATGGTTGGGGCTCTTTCGAAAAACGATGTTCAGCCAACGTTGGTGTTTTTATACAACCATTGAACCCCAGCGCTCCTCCGGCGCTGAAAGGGAGACCTTCCATCGGTTTCGCGGTCGAAAGAAGCCACCGGCGTCGTATAATTCCGGGATGCTAATCGCAGCAAGTTGACAGCGAGTCAGCGACCCGTGATGCCACGTCTACACACTCCAAGGAACGGGGGTGCTGCTGACCAACTTCTGAACATCAGCTGGACATGTTATCCAAAGCCCGAATATTCAGAAACTCAGAGGTATTGAGCAGGGCAGGGATAGAGACGACATCTAATCTAATCTACTTTTCGTGCGACTACAGTAAGCCAAAGGATCAGTTTTTTGGGATCGATCTCAACCACAACAATTCCTCGCTTAGGATGTCCCAGCCAGTCGGCAAGCCCCACCCACTCACAGACCACACCAAGTATTCAACTAACCTCCACCAGAACGGCCCTCCTTTTGGTGTACGACAAAATCAACCTTCTGGACTCAGCCAAGGGTCCTCACGATGCTGGTGTTGAGATGCAGGAATCCCCATCGAGTGCTTGGCGATACTCTTGAAGCGTCACCGAAAACATGAGAGGAGAGCAAGAGCTCTGAACGTGGTTTTTCTGGTATGCTCAACTTCAAATATCCTACATGGGCCACTTACATCGTGCAGTTATGTGTAGATTCTGGAATCCTTATCCTGAAGCGTGGCCTCCACCTCGTTGCTTAGCCGCTAAGCAATCGGCAATCATTTCAATATCTTTCCATCCTACGCGATTACGACAGGCTTAGGGCACAGTGCGTACGACAGAACGTTGAGATTTTTTTTTCTCAAGCACTGCATTCTATAGATGGCGTCCTACATGGGAACCAATGGCGTCCAAGTAGAACGTAAGCCCAAAAAATAATTATTGGTGTCCGATGAAGGCAACTTTCGGCCACAACGCCTGAAGCCACCACTGGTCCCGGGAACTGTAATTCGTAAGATGGATGCATGAATTTTATCGATGAGATATTGATACCACAAAGCTCGAGACTTATCGAGTTGTGAGTTCGCTACATAGCACTGGGAACGATGCCAAGAGTCCATTGCATTCGGTCTCAATCTGTCCAGTCAAGGTAACTTTACATGATGATATCTTTGTACTTATACTTACTACGGCTTCACCCTCACCGTTTTGCAAGGGCTACTTTTTATGAGGATGGTGATCCCCATACCCCAAATCAATCCCCTTCAAAATCCACGCATACGGATCTGGCGTATCAGGCTTGGGCACCTCCTCCGCGATCTCCTTTGCATCCTCAACCACATCTTTATCAAAATAAACCCTCGCAAACTCAGCAGCTAGATCGATACCACTCGTTATCCCAGCCGCGCTCCATACCTTCCCGTCCTTCACCCACCGCCGATCCCCCACCCAGTGTACCTTGTGGTCCAGCTGTCCAGACTGCGCGAGGAATTTCAACCCCCTCTTGTTCGACGCTACGCGGAGGTGGTTCAGGATGCCCGTGGGAGCTAGGAGAAGGCTTCCCGTGCATACTGTCAAAAACCTGACTTTGGGGTCTGCGAATCGCGTCTGCACGAACTCTGTGAACTCGGGCGGGACGGCGTAGGGGATTTCATTTCCAGGCATGAAGACGTAATCGACATGTGGACAAGTAGCGAATGTGTGCGTGGGTGTTTGCTTTGGCCCAGAGGACGCGGAAATGGGGTCGAGCGTGGACGCGACGTAGTACCACGTCAGAATGGGCGCCTTTGCGACAAGTGCTGGATCAGAGTTTATTGCGCGCAGCTTCGCTTGGCTGTGGTTGTTCAGATAGTCGATTGGCCCGGCGACATCGAGCCATTGGTAACCTGGGAGGAGGATGATTGCGAAGGAGAGATTGGGGGGCGAGGTGTGGTGCTCATGTGGGGTAGATGCCATGGTTGGGGCTCTTTTGACAAACGATGGTCAGCCAACGTTGGTGTTTTTATACAACCATTGAACCCCAGCGCTCCTCCGGCGCTGAAAAGAAGACCTTCCATTGGTCTCGTGGTTGGCAGAAACCACGGGCGTGGTATAATTCCGAGCTGCTAATGGCAGTAAGTTGACAGCGAGTCAGCGACCCGTGATACCACATTATATTAATTACACACTGGGCTGCTGACCTGCGCAAGTTCTGAACATCAGCTGGAGAAACTCACAGATAGCAGAAGATAGTCGTGTTAAACAGAAAAAGCCAGCAAAGAGGAGATATCATCTAATCTAATCTACTTTTGATCCCGACTTCGATAAGATAAATGATCAGTTTTTCGTTGGAATCGATCTCAACCACATACCGGACTCGCACACTTCTAGATCTCTTACAATTCCTCGCTCAGGATGTCCCAACCCATCGGTAAGCTCCAGCCACTCACAAACCATACAAACCATTCAACTAACCCCCATCCAAACAGCCCTACTTTCAGTGTACGACAAAACTGATCTGCTGGACTTCGCCAAGGGTCTTCACGATGCTGGTGTCCGATTATTAGGATCTGGAGGAACAGCAAAGAAAATAAGAGACGCAGGGATCCCTATCGAGTACGCTCTGTCTCCCTTCCATTCACTGATCCTTCTTACGACGATGGGAAAAGGGACGTATCAGACATCACCAAAGCCCCAGAAATGCTAGGCGGGCGCGTCAAAACGCTTCACCCTGCCGTACACGGTGGTTCGTATCCCTCTCCTACCTATTTATCTGCCTAAATTGCTCAACAAATGAACAAACGACAGGAATCCTCGCACGCAACATTCCATCGGACTCAGAGGACCTCAAAGCGCAAAACATCTCTCCAATCTCCATCGTCGTCTGCAACCTCTACCCATTCACCGAAACGATCGCCAAGCCAAACTGTACCCTCGCAGATGCAGTTGAGGAAGTCGATATTGGTGGGGTGACGCTTCTCCGCGCTGCAGCCAAAAACCACGAGCGCGTCTCTGTCCTCTCCGATCCAAAAGACTACAAGACCTTCCTCGGCGCGTGGAAAGATGGGCAAGGAGACGTGGGGCAAGGACTGAGAGCTTCTCTTGCGCTGAAGGCATTCGAGATGACCGCGCGGTACGATGAGGCGATCAGCGGATATTTCAGGGAACAGTACGCTAGCGCCGAGTTGCCTGCTGAGAAACTGGCTGGGCGAGTACAGAGAATCGCATTGAGGTATGGTGCGAATCCGCATCAGAAGCCTGCGCAAGCGTATGTTACTGAGGGGGAGCTTCCATTCAAAGGTGGGTTGATTTCAATTGGAATGTGAGTACTGATTCGACAAACTTCGACAGTGTTGAGCGGGTCACCTGGATACATCAACCTCCTCGACGCGCTCAATTCCTACGCTCTGGTCAAAGAGCTCCAAGAAGCCCTTGATCTCCCGGCCGCCGCGTCCTTCAAGCACGTCTCACCGGCTGGTGCGGCCGTCGGCGTCGAGCTCACAGAGACGGAGAAAAAAGTTTACGGAGTCGACGACCTCAAGGAACCTTTGACTCCACTTGCTTCTGCGTATGCTAGAGCGCGAGGTACGTTTCTCATCATTGCCTTGTAGAGCTCACCCAAACCCAACCAACCAATCAGGTGCGGATCGCATGTCCTCCTTCGGCGACTTTATCGCCCTTTCGGCTCCATGCGACCTCGCTACTGCACGCATCATCTCGCGCGAAGTGTCCGATGGGATTATTGCGCCTGGATATGCCGATGAGGCGCTCGACGTGTTGAAGAAGAAGAAGGCCGGGAAATACTGTGTTCTTCAGGTCAGTGCCTCATCCTCTTTGTGAGGCAGGAAGGATATAAATGAGTGCACGCAGATCGATCCAAACTATGTCCCTCCCAGCATCGAGACGAAGCAGGTGTACGGAATCCATCTCCAGCAAAGGAGGAACGATTGTAAGATCGAGTCTTCCCTCTTCCAGAATATCGTCACCAAGAGCAAGGAGGTCCGTCAATATTTGTTTTGTCTTCATCCACTTTACTAACGAAATCATCCCCAGCTCCCATCAAGCGCAGTCACAGACCTCATCGTCGCCACACTCGCTTTAAAATATACACAATCCAACAGCGTTGCATACGCCTTTCATGGATCTATCATCGGCATCGGGGCAGGCCAACAATCGCGCATCCACTGTACCCGTCTCGCAGGCGGGAAAGCCGATCTCTGGTGGCTCCGCCATCACCCACGCGTCCTCGCTCTCCCCTTCAAAAAAGGAGTAAAACGCGCAGAGAAGGCCAACGCCATTGACCTGTTCGTCAGCGGAGAAGTGCTGGAGGGCGGGGAGAAGGAACAGTGGGAGTCCTTGTTCGAGGGCGAGGTGTTAGCGTTGGAGGAGGAGGAAAAGAAGGAGTGGGCGAGTAAGTTGGATGGGGTTGCGTGTTCTAGCGATGCGTTCTTCCCGTTCCCGGATAATGTGCATCGTGCACGGAAGAGCGGGGTGAGGTACCTTGCGGCGCCGAGTGGGAGTGTTATGGATGAGGAGTGCGTCAAGGCGGCGGATGAGCATGGGATTGTGTTTGCGCATACGTCGTTGAGGTTGTTCCATCATTAATTAAAGGGTAAAGTGGGGACGAGCTAAACAGAGGAAACAAGGGAATGTATTTGTGTTATTTTGGTTGTTTTTATGAATGATCTATTTGATCAAGATGTAAGGTGTATATGATGTTGAAGGCCTTTCTGGTGCAACTCTTCTCGTTCGACGAGCAGATCTTCTCCCCAGGACTTGATTTCGGGATGCCGAATATTTGGCAAGCTGCTGTCAAAGAAAGGTTGGAGGTCCTTGTTGTGGTTTCGTTCATATTCTAGCGCCTGGGATGCCATTTCAAACCGGTCAAGGTCTGTAACCGTATCCCCATGTTAGTGTTGGGGTGCGTGAAGAAAGCAGAGCAACACGCCTTTGACGAACTTGGCTTCAGCCGTTTCACCCGCTTCATATTCCTAGATTCAATTAACATCCATAGACTTGAGTTGCACATTTTAGAAAGGTAAACAAAAGCTTACCCTCCACAGCGCGTCTATTCGTTGCGCCGCCGGACTTTCATGTAGCATCTCGTAAACGAAGTTATGCATTGCTTCCTGCACGTGTATCGCATCAATCTCATGTGAGATGAAAGAAGGAAGGTAGGACAGACCGCTTCAAGACGATGTTTCTCGGCTTTTGGTATACCTTCTCTTGGTGCGATGTCTCCGACTTAAAATTTGGGTAACATGAGAAGAGGAACAAAAGAGAGAAGGGGAGAGAGAGAAGGTACCTTGAGCTTCGGCGAGATCATGTACCAGAGCCATCATCACGCATCTATCCGAATATAAGTAATAAGTACTCGCGTCATTGGATGGTGAGGAACCCACTTTGAGATGTCCAGCTGGGCATCCGTCGATAACATGCACAGGATAGCCATCCGGTACATGTGGTCGGATATACTTGGAACGAGCTCGAGTCAGTCAAGGAAAAAGTTCTTGGATCGACAGCATGTAGTATGCACCTCTCAGGATTGGGAATCTATGCGATATTGAAACCTGAATGAGCGAAAACCAAAGGAGAACAGGCGCACGTCATTGTTCACCCATCCTGTCCGTTTTTGCGTCTATAATAGCCTCCCCTTGAGCCAAGGCATCCTAATCACACAAGTGAACCCGTGCAGTACCTTCAATCTCTCGAGGACGTGAATGAACGCGAGTCTATCTGCTCTTTCGCTTCCTTGAGATACATATAACGGTGGAAATACACGCTTTGCTTGAGAGCTTTCGGAGTTCTTGGGTGCTAATTCTTCTGGTGACATATCCACTGGTTGGTTTGGAGAGTCAAGCTTCAGGATCCGTGAAGAGAACGTTTACTGAAAAAACTCACCTCACCTCAGGGCCTCATATCGGAGTCATAGTCACTATTGGCGAAACCCCTATATGCATCGTGAGAACTAGCGAGGCGAGCGCACGCCGCAGAATATTAACGTATTCTGATGGTACCTCGGCACCCCCTGGCACCCCCTCTGATTCGGCAGATTCCTTATCTCAAACCTTCCGCAAAACCTCTTGCCACAAAATTGATACACGGCCTTCTGGGTCGAATCCAACCTTTTTTCAGTTTGGTCTTTGGCAAGAAAAACGGAGAATTGACGAAGTTCTGTTTTTCTAAGTCTGACATTTTATGATTGTTTACTCAGGGAGGTGCCGGGGTACTAATAATTGTATTCCCACCGACGCCACCGTTGATCGGACCGTCGCCGAAAAAAGCTTTGGATGGGCGCCAGCTGTACCGGTATCTCGGCACCCCGTCGGTCACAAAGTATCATTCTGTGGCCGAGTGTGACTTTTCAAAAACAGAACTTCGTCGACTCTTCGTTTTTCTTGAAAGGAAAAAGGTTGGATTAGACTCAGAGGACGCCATTTTAAAGTTGGTGGTAAATTAGTGACAAGAGACCTTGCGGAATGGGTTGAGGTCAAAATTTTGCTGACTTAAAGGGGGTGCCGAGATAGTGGTAAAGGTATGATAATCGGATGTTACTACCGTTTCCATCATTCGCATAATTCCGTAAACGTGACGGTGATTTTTTTTTTTTGTTATGCTCCACAACAACTCAGTCAATTCTTCAATTGCGAGTGGAGTCAATATGTTAGGCCTCCTCCAAGAAATACCAAGCTACCACCCTTCGCTCTAAATCGAGAGACTGGCACCATCGAGGAGGGGATGGTACGCGGAATCGTCGTTCCATGTGCGGACGTGGGAAAGTGTACCCAATATTATGGAAGGTACTAGGTAGATTCACGTCACGTCAAGGGACGAAAATCAAGGGAATTATGCAAACAAAAGTTATTATAAGTACATATTCTGAGAGTAAAAAGTATATTTCAAAAACTTTCCCCCGCCACTCCCCCATCCTACTAAATGTTTTCAACCCTTCAAGAGTACCACCAAACAATTATTTCAGCAGCATGCCAGATGATCATTCTATCCCTTGGCATCCCGCAAGACCTAGTGCGGGCTGGAGCTTTCCTCCTCAGTTTTCTTATGTGCGTGCACGCCAGACGCCCACACATTCGCATGGAAACACTTAAACTTCGACTCTCATCCTTGGAGGATAAGTTGCAGGATGCCGTTGATATTGGAATCATGCGTCAATCGGATTTAAGTTTCACTGACAAATTCACGGACGACATAGTAGCGTGAGCTATTGGCATCGTTTTATGAAAAAAGGTGCTTACTGTGTCCACAATATACGCTCTCTAGCATCCGCTGCGTGATCCTTGACCTCAACGTGAGGACGCTCATGACGTCTGGCGCAATTCTTCAGGAGATAAAGGCCGTTTTGGAAGGTCTTTCACGCGAGATTAACACATGCATTCGGAACGTTAAGGCTCTCGAAAGGGATCTCGAGGTATGCTCTTCCGAGCTACTTCTCTTCCTGGTTTGACATGATGCACAGATAAACCGTGCAAAAATTCTGAAGAACCAATATCAGATTGGCAGGCCAAACTGAATGCATGCCATACCTGTCATGGTCAAAGACTGTCCTGTTTGACCCCTTCCCATCGCTATGTTTTCTTCATGCTTTCGCTGTTCTGTTGCTTGCTAGATCGATGTCCGATGTATTCCCTTTTAGAGATTGCTCTGGCTTGTGCATGTTCTGGATAGACAGGATACCATCTTTTTTGCTTAGCCTAGACGAGTTAAAATAGGAGTATTAGGTATAGCCAGAGACGTCGCAAATTAGAGCCACTATCATGCCAGCAAGTTTTAAGCATCACTGTAGCACGGGGAGGAGCAAGATGTTGTACTTGCTGTGTTCACCGAGCGCCAGCCTCTGATTCGCAGCGACCGACACATCCTCCAACCAGATTACCTCTGGTTGACACAGTCAGTCCAGAACCACAGCTAAGCCCGTCTGCGCTCAATGCGGTAGTACGTGTCATCCACGCGATCTCGCACTAGTGCGCCCGTTGATGTTGGTGTTGGGCAAGAGGAGGGGGCTGATACTGCGGTGAAGCCTTTCAAGAGGACCAAACAACTCCACGAGGGGCGGCAGTGAACCCACTAGCAACAGAAGTGAATTTATCCCCATACCCACCCGTGTCAAGTCTTCCCCTAGTAGCGGGCTGATAACGAAGTTGGGTCTTCGAGTTCCTTTGACCCTCAATCACTCTCCCCTCATTTGCGCTCCCCTCGCTCCTTTGTCCCTCTTCACGCCCCTCCACATACACCCCCTCCGCCCATCA